GAGTCATGGTAGGAATAGATATTGGATAGGTTTGTCTCTCAAATAGGCCTATAAAAACTAAACTAAAAAAAAAAAAGGAAAAAAGGGAACTGCTATTACTCTCATATGTACTCTTTCAACTGCATAATAGTTTCAGTAGTATTTAAAGAGAAAAGTAAAGCTTTCTACATGTTTAATAGCTCTGTCAAGTGACTGCTCAGTTATCTCTGAAAGGAGAGAGAACGAGTGCAGCTGTGCAAATGTAACACGACAAATATGCACTTGATTGTGTCCTTTGGCCAGCAGAACATGTCTGTTGGTAATCAGTTCTTCCTCTACCAGACCACTGGCATGTGAGCTCTCCTAGTGTGATTCTTGTTATTGTTCTCTCTGGCTCTTGTTCACTGTTGTTCTGGAAGGAAGGACAGAGCTGAAGGCATGAGTAATAGGAAATCTTAAGCTCTCACGTTCACCAAAGAGGAAAACATTTATTTAATCAGCCTAGAGCTTTACAGGCGCTCAGAGAATAAAAGTTAGTCTTTTGGGAAGTGGGGGCAAAGGGGTTGGACTCAGAAAATACAGTCCTTGGCTTTTGAAGTGCTGTTTCCCTGGGGTTAACACTGTGCAGGGACTTTTTCAGCTGGATTTTTGGGACATGTTGTGTCAGCGTGTCTGCAGGTGTATTTGCAGCTCCTGGGTTGGAATAATTCTTGCAATACCCACCACTGCCTTCCCTGACAGCTAGGAGTGGCAGTACATTTTTGTCTTCAGGAGGTCCCCAAACAAGGGAGGTTTATAAAGTGGAGGCAAATGAGCTCTGTGCATGTTGTGAACAGGTTGGAGCATCAGCAGAGTGAGAAGGTTGTACAGAGCTCACAGAGTGGTGTCCCACTGGTGCTTCAGGTACCTCCTAACCCTTTAGTTTACCTTTTAAACTGGTAGAGATGTCTGCTGGGTGCACACAGTGTGTAACACAGTGCCTCTGTTGTGCCACCTCTGTCACTCAGGACAGCTGTGCAGGGTCACTCCCCCATCCCCTTAGAGGAGCCTTCAAAGCTCTCTGCAAACACAGAGTCCACAGAGGCTCTTAGCTGAGGACGATTTGCAACATGCAAGTTAAGCCACTTGAGACACAAGCATGCTGGGCAAAATCTGGAACAGTATATAGCTTCTGAGTCTGAAAAGGTGATACATGAAAAATCTAGTCTGAAAAATGTGGTTTCTAATTGTCAACTATTATTGCAGGTCTTGGTATAATACATAATAGAGTTTATACTTTTGCTCATCATACTTGGGACATGTCCTCTGCAGAGTAAACACACCCAGTTCCCTTGTGCAGTCCATCATCCATGAATTCTGGTCACTGAGCCTTCAACTGTCCTTCACAAGCAGTAGAGATGTGATTACGTGGTTTTATTTCTAGCACTGGTTACGAAGAATACATTTCTATAAAGGTTTTCCCTGGTAGTGTTTCTCCAAAGTATTTTATGTAGAACATTAAATGTAATTTAACTTGCTTTGTAGACTGGGAAACTGAAGGTCAGTGTTGCACAGACTTGATTCCAGTTTAAGTCCTGAAATTACCAGAATAAATAGATCCTTAATACTATCTAAAATAATGTTGTATCTGCTTCATTCTTGAACGTGAATATAATGTGCATATTGTGGACAGTATATATATTTGTAATATATAGAAAATAACTAAAACTCTTATATCTTTGATCAGTCACTGATCAGTGAGATTTGCAGAGCCATAAAAGGCTACTCAAATTTAGCATCCATTTATCTACATTTATAATTATGCTTATAGAATTCCTTTGGTCACTGTTTCTTCACTCTGCAGTTCTAAGGCTCTGGAAGTATTTGGTAAATGAGAATGTACTTCTGCTTTTTTTAATTTAATTTTTTCTGTCTGCTGTGTTCAAATGGGATTTTATCTGAGAACCCATTTCATATTTGTCAGTGTGGGTAGAAGTAAAATAGGCAAGTCAGAAGAGGTTATATGTTGTCATAAATTGATAACTGATGTTCTTTGCTTTTAGGGCACATGCAAGTGTCTGATGATTTAACAGAGACTTTATAGGCAGTGACAGCAACACATAGGTTTAATATTTCATTTGACAATAAATTGCTGTAAATTCATTCAATTCCCTTTACCAATTTGAAGTAAAAATGTTAAATATTATTTTAGCTGCTTTTAGCACTTCTAACTAAGCAAACCAAGGTATTTACTGCAATTAATTTAGCTCACTCCATCTTGTGTTAGGGGCAGTCCTGTAAGATAAGGGTCACAGTTCGTGTTTGATGGTTTGGATAGTCCTGATGACTCAACCAAAGTAACATAATTCAGAAGGGACCAAAAGCAGTATGATAGATCAAATCCCAGTATCTGCATAGCACAGAGAACTGCAAAGGATTTCTGGATGTGAACTTGAGAAGGAGTGAGGAGACCTGAGCAGAGGGAGAAGACAGAGCCTTTAACCCTCTCTCACCTTGAATGAAGAATGTTTGGGGCAAATGTGCACTTAATCAGTGTTTCCTGGTCCTGCCAGGAGGGTTGAGATGCAAACCCCTTTTAATGCACAGCACAGTAGCATGAGATCCCAGAAAGCTGCACACTGGACACACTGAATGAGGGTTTAGTAGCCCTAAAAGAGCAAAAGCAGATGTCTAGAAAGTGTGACTGTTTCATTGACTTGTCCTAATACATTATAAATGACTGATTTTTAGCAACCATTTTCCCAGATGATCACAGCAAGTCAGGAGTAGCAAGATGAGTCCTGAATTAGTTGAGATTCAGAATGTTCTCCAGCAAATACCTGCTGTAGGAAGGATCCCACTCATGAGCTGTAGAAACCTTACAGAGGCAGAAAACTCATGAAAACTGTTTTGGAAGTGATTTAACAACAACAAGTGCAGCTGCTCTGGTATGTCACTCCCCCCAAAACCTCTCCAGTGCAGGGTGTGTTCTCACTTGGACTTGCAGGGTTTGTGATCTGAGGCGTGGTGTTCATTCATCATCTCTCACAGCAGGCTAAAATTTAGCCAGTTGTTTCAGTCACTGGGAAGGACCTGATAAACTCAAAATTGATCCCTTTGGCTGTTTGGAAGAGGCAGGTGTACATGGTTTGAACTATATTCCCTTGACAGTAGCTTATCAGAAGTTTTCCCAGGAAAACAAAACTTCAGAGAGGCCAAAGGTCTATGCAGAATAATGTGATGAATTTCGGATTTCTTTAGCCTATAAATTCCAGACTTGGATGAAACTAGTGGGACACCTCAGAGGTTAAATAATTGCTAGGGAGAGTCAGAGATGAAGGAGGCAGCCAGTAAATGAAAATTATAATGAGCATTAACTGTCTTTTCTCTCTCAGTTCAATATTAGCTTTGTTGCTGCAAGTCAAACATCCGTTCTCTGTTTTCTCCCTCATTTGCTTTTCTTCCTTGAGTAAGCAGATTTTGTAGTGACTTCTCATTTTCCCTTTTAATAGAGACCCTGTTTTGCCTGATAGCTCTAAATCTGCTTTACTAAGAGCACCTAAATCCCTTACTCTCTGATGGATTTTGCCCCTGCAGTGCAAGAATCAACAGTAAATGCAAGATCTGAGTAAGAGAAGTGCAGGCTTTTTGCAGCTGAACAGTGAAATATATAACTAAAGTAACAGCACACTGAGTCCTCTTCTCTGGCCTTGTATTGCTGAAGTTCCTGGATGGGAGTTATTAAAATGGAATGATGTAGCTTTGGCTGTAGAAGAGTTGGGTGGTAGAGCTGATTTTCTGGTAGCTGTCAAGTACTTTAATCCATGTACTTCATCATCTAATATACGTATATATGTTTCAATAAAAAGCCTGTGTAATGAATGTCAAATGTGAACCAAAAATATGTTGTTATTCTTCTCAAAATACAAAATGAAAGGTTGGATTTAGTAATGTTATAGTCTTAAGTACAATGAGGTAGGAAATGGTTTTGATGACATTTTACAAGTCAGCTATAGAGTAAACAGATATTTTGTGCATATAGCATCTGAGTGGATGGGGAATATTTATGAAAAAAGACTTGAGGTTAATTTGTTTGGAAAGCCAGATACAAATTCAAAGACTTTTAAAATTCTTTGCTTGTCACTATGAAGGGTCATTTTCTAGTCTTAATAATTTTTCTATTTAAAAGCCTGATGTGGACATTTTGTGCTTAGTTTATAAGGAGAGGAAGCTAATGTATTGATTGCTTTTGTCTCCTAAAGAGAAGAAATCACATTAATATTTATGCCTTGATTTTTCCTGTTGTTATAGGCCTGAAATCTGATCAGCTTTACCTATTAATGGTATCAATGTATTTAAGAGACTGAATGACTCGGTGGATTTGGATTTGGGTAACAGGATCTAGGGTATTTAAAACCTTTACATTAGTAGTTCAAATTAAGCTCAGGCTGTCTGTGCTGGTGCAGTTTCTGAAGTTGGGGATCTGAGAATTAAATTAATGGTCCCAGAAGTGGCTCTAAAAAGCTCTCTTTACTAATACCCATGTCAGGAGTGTAGGGAAGGAGGCCAAGGAATGAAATGGCAGGTTGAAAACTCATTCACTGGCAAAATGAGGGGGCAGCAGGTTTGCACCAATTAACTGCAGTGTGACATTCATTGCCTTGGACTGTTGGATGGTTTAAAAAGATGTTTGTCAAATCATGCAGGACAGGTGACTTTTGATGTAGCTCCTAGCCAGGAGGACACTGATTACTTGAATGGAAGGAGTGAGGAGGAAGGGCTGTTCTGTGCTGTCTTTTCTCTCACAGCCTTTTTCCCAAGCAGTCACTGCTGGCTCTGCTGAGGACAGGGCAGAGCTCAGGGCTGAAGCAGTGTGGCAGAGCTCATATTCTCTGTGCTGTTGTCACATCACAAGGGCAGGGTTGTATCAAAACAGGTGAACTAGAAGAAAAAGGGCAATGGTCAGGCAGAAAATGGTGAGTGCTCAGAAAGCAGTGCAGTGCATTTGTCCCTCATGCTCCTTTTTTTTTTGTTTTGTTTAGGCAGGTGACAAGCATTATCATCCAAGCTGTGCACGATGCAGCAGATGCAACCAAATGTTCACAGAAGGAGAAGAAATGTATCTGCAAGGTAAGGATGTCTCCATTCCAAAAGAAGAAAATCAGACATCATGATTTTTGTGTCACAGATGTCAGGAATTTATAAACCATCCACATGTAATATGTCCAAGGGGGACTATAATCATCCTGTCCTCAATGGTGTTCTCATATTTTTTCACTTGATACCCTTTTGCTCTATTAGGTGGCCCTAACTGTAACTTTGCAGGGACTCTACACCCTTGCTGAGGCAGCCTGTTCTTGCTAAAAAACAAAATGTATTAGGCTGCCTCTGAATTTGACATCTCATGGATAGTTCAGCCCCAGAGTGGTGTGTGAAATACCAGACAAAGTGAAGGGATTTCCCCTGATTTCTGCTGATCAGTTTCTGTGCTGTTCTGGACCACGCTCCAAACTGTAAAAGGCAAGGGAAAATCTTCCAGAAGCTGCAGTGAATTTGCTTTGAACCACGTAGACCTTATTCCTAATGCACATTGACAGAGTCTCTCCTCCAGTTCTTAATTTGCTACCCTTGCCTACTTCCCTTTTATCTGGTCAAATCTCTCTTTTTATCCCCATGTACTTTATATCTTTCTGTAGCCACCCCTTTCTTGTATGTTTATTTTCACCTCTCCTTTCTTGTTAAGAGTCTCACACTCCCAATTCTTGCCAAGCTCGTTTTCTTCGTGATCTTTTCACATAGAAAAGAATATGCTCATTTCTTTGATTGAAAAGTATCCTTGATATGAATCCCACCTACTCTCTGAGAGGGTGGTATACTCACTATTAAGTTATTTTTATTGCTTGCTGTAGTATTACTGTTGGTAGAAGGATGTATAATACCCATTTATGTAAGCCAGAAATAAAGTGAAAAAGGCAGATACATGCTGGGATTTTGTATATTGCACTTAGGTTAGAAAACTTGATTTACTTGAAAGGAATGTAGAAGAATAATGAAAGAAATATGAAAGTGTTGTCACAGCCATTTTTTCAAATCCTGAGGAGAGGATCTTGCTGGAGGAGTTCCAAAATAAGATAATATTGTTAAGGCATTTCTTTGAAGCTAACTTGTTTTATTTTGTAGTTTGTCCTTCCTTGCAGTCCCTCTCTCTCATCTCTCCCTGACCTTATACCTCAGTCATCTTATTCCAGCTGTGCCCAGAACAGGATGTGAAATGGTGTAGCAGCACTGCTTGGCAGGAGCAAGGAGAGGCTGGAAGAGGGCTGGGTGGGAGGTGCTGCTTTCTGATGGAAAATTGGAAAAACTAACTTGAAAGCAGCACTTAGAGCAGCTGGCAAATCTTAGTTTCCTCACATAATGTTGTGCTAAAGTACAGGCAGAGTTCAAAATGAGTGTCAGATCATCCTTTGCTGTCATTAGTTAATAACAGCCTTCCCCAGCTAGTGCCATTTGCACCAGTCTAGCAGAGAGTGGGGCTGTGGGTTAATTGAGCAGGCTTTGGTGTAAAGTTCTGCAGATCCAGATAAGACAGAAGGTATCACTTTTACTTAAACTAGGCTGGAGTTTGTCCTGGGCAAGTTCAGGTGATAGGAAAGGGAAAGGAGAGAAACCTGGCAGCAGCTCGATCTGCTGTTCTCTTCTCAATGAATCTCTGTGTGGTTATGAATCAATGTTCCTGGTGCTCAGTCTCTCTCAGGGGAGGAGCACCTCAAATTGCATTGCTTTATTGTTCACAGGATGTTTTCTGGCTAAATACTGTAATTGCTGAGTGTGCTCCAGACTGTCCTGCCAAAGCTTTCCTTGCTGAATTCAGTGCGCTCGCAAGTGTGAGGACCTAAAAGCTTTTCCTGTGCAAAGCTCTCAGCTGAAATGCATATCCTGACTCCATCCAAATCACTGCCCCCAGGGTGCAGAATAACAGCATTCCAAGCATTTCTCTGAAACAGAAATACAACACCACAACAATAAAGCTAGAACAAAAATCATGTTGTTGATAAAATACACAAAAATAGGTGGCTTCCATCTCACTTTTAATTGTCCTCTCCCTAGAATATGAAAACACTTTTTTGGTATTGCTTTGTATAATAGAGAAGCCTGGCAGGATTGTGGTAGAAACTTGTATTAAAATGTTGGGAAGCTGGCAAAAGGAGAACATGGACAAACAAGGTCTCTGTCATGGGGCTTTCTATGTTAGGGATGGTTGGAATAATGCTAGCAGAAACACTCTGGCTTGGCACTGCTCCAACATATGAAAATGAAAAAGAAGCAGCCCCAGAAACTGTCTCTTTCCCATTGACTTCCTGGTAATGCATTCTTTTATGGGCTGCCTCACAAGGCTGTTGCTGAGCTAGGATTGCCCAGTATTTAGAGGGATGCTGAAATAGTGGTACATGCAGAGTTTAAAGCTGAATAAATGAGCATGCTAGTTGATGTTTGCCAGGTAAGCAAACAAACATATGTTAAGAATGGAAATAATCACAATTTGCTGAACTGTTTCCAGCAGTAAAAGAGAGGAGTGAGGCAGCTTGGGAATTTGCACCCTTGCAAGTATTTCAAAACAGTTTGGATGAACAGTATCTACAAAATGTAGGTGGCTCAGAGTTCAAGATCACAAACAATGTACATTTAACTTCTTAAGCCTGCTGTGTCTGGTTTGGGTTTTTAAATGTCACATCTTTCAAATCTCTTATCATTTAGTGAAAGAAAACCCACAACCCTTAGCTAGCTTTCACCATGAAAATGACGTCCAGGTATTTCTTGTTTGCTTTCAGCACTCTCACAGGGTGTCCTTAAATGGTACCAGTTTGTGATAAATACTGCCCAAAATGCAGTGACAGCTTTCTCACTGATGGGAGGGAAAGTTTAACAGAAAAGAATCACAGACTTGTTAAGGTTGGGAAGACTCCTAAGATCATCAACTCATGCCATTAATCTAACAGTGAGGGTCAGAGGAATAGGGATAATTTTTCTCAGGGCCACACAGGAAGGAAGCTCACAGCTGGATTTGTGACTTGAACTAAAATCTTCTGAGTCTTAGTTCATCCTTGAGCAATAGGCGTCATATTCAGAGGAGTCTTACTCAGATCACTTATTTTAACATGGACTTTCAGCCTTATGACCTGAACTCTCTTCCTCCTGCATGGACAGGGCACAGCTCCCTCCTGATCCTGCAGGCTCTGTGGGGTCCTGGCTCCGAGGCTGCTGTTTGTTTACAGAGAAGCCTCTCGGTGCACTTCTCCCTGTTGTCTGATGGTGTTCCTCTGCCAAATGCACAGTTTCCTGGGCTGAGACTCACAGCCAGAGATCTCAGACCCTTGCTCCAGAGTCACAGCATTCTCTCCTGTCTCCTGGTGATGACTGTGCTGTGTACTGCTGGGAAGTGAAATGATTCCTGCTGCTCTTTACTTCTGCACCAAGCCATGTAAGGGCTTGTTAGAAGAGAGTTTCCAGGCTCCCTGACCCATCCTTCTCCTGTCCTTGAGGGTGGGGTTTCCTCTGGCTGCTTTTCAGCTAATAGTCACCAGCAGGAGACCTGGACTTGGCTCTGTTTGGTTTCTTTGTGGACAGAGTGAAGAGGTGATGTTCCCCCCTGCAGATAGTCAAGGCTCTGGATTGGCTTTGTGGTGACTGGAATGAAGGATGAATTTGATTGCAGCTGCAGTCAGTGTTAAAAATCAGTGTTAGTTTCTGCTCTGTTTCATCTTGGCCAATACCTTCAGCAGCTTTCCAGCAGTGACCACAGCTTACACTCCGTTTCAGAGGACAACTGAAATGGGATGGAAATGCTTCTTCCCCTGACATCACTCAGTCCATATCCAGCAGGATATTCCTAGTTTACAGCATAAGAATCTCATATTTTGGGAAACAAACAGCAGAGGACTTGCCTTTTTAGTGGGATATACAGCTGGATACGCCAGGGGGAAGCAGCAGTAGCACAGGGTAGGAGTGCTGTGTGTGCCAGTGGCAGGTGAGGTGTGCTGGGATCCAGGGAGAAGCTCTCCCATGTGCAGCTTTGCACCACCTGTCATCCTGGCCTCCCACCCACTGCCGGTGGGTCACACACAGCCCTGGCTCTTGCGCTGTGGATTTTTAAATTCTGCTTTTCCTTTTGCATTTTACATGAGGGAAGATGTAATCTGAGTAGTACTTCATAGTAACTGAGTGTGACACCTATTTCTCAATGGATTTACAATCAGAAATTCCTTTTTATGTGCAGGGCAGTACAGAAGGGGAGAACAGATCAGGTAACTGTGGCCCAGTTCTTTTGCTCTTACCTCTTACCCTTCAACCTGCCAGAGGAATCCTCTCTCTTTCAGTTCTCCAGCTGGTGCTTGCTGACTCTGTTGCTGCTTGAGGCTGCTTGAGTTTTAATTAAGAATGTGTGCAAAGCACTTTGACAGCCTCAGGACAAAGCTGCTTTAGGTACACCAAGGATTTGAATATTTTTTTGTTTCCCTTGTATTTCCCATGAGCTGGACTTTACTGTGAATTACTCTCATAGTTCATACAGATCCAGCATCTGATGCAGTGAAGAGATTCTCTTTGATAACTGGTTTGTCATGAGCAGAATCGTCTGCTTTGCTCTGAATAAAGAAGTGTTTCTCCTCCCTCAGGTTCCACTGTCTGGCATCCCGACTGTAAGCAATCCACTAAGACTGAAGAGAAGCTCCGGGTAAGCTGAATTCATGGCTCAGTGACACACCATACATTTTGCACACACAATAATCGAATGTTGTTTTTAAAAGAGTGACTTTTTCCATGTTTTTTTCGCATAGCTGTCACAACTCTGGCAGAATATACAGTGGAGGCACTTCAGAGGTATTGCTCTGATTTTTAGGCTTACCACCTTCACATACCTGTCTCAGTGCACTGCCTTAAAGATAGTGTCATTTACTGACATACAGACGTGGCCAAGTATCTAAGACACTTCATTTCATATCTCAGTTGTTGTGAGAGAGACTCCTAAGGAGAAGATATGAACAGGGCAAATGCTATCATATATTTTAGTGGTTTTGCACATCTGTGTAATTGCTCTATAGTTATCCCCTGTTCTGCGTGGTTATTTGCAGCATTTAGACAAGATGAACTCTTCTTTCTTTGCCATCCAAGTAAGCCTCAACCTAAAGTGATCCTGATTTGAATGCCAAAAAGAGCCACAGTTACCCTTGGAGTTACATCAGCATATTCAGACAAACTTTCTGGGTCAAATCCTTGGTGACAATAATGCTGCACTGATAAATGCTAGAGCCTGGCTTTTTGCATGAACCAGGCAATTCTAAGCCCTTATTCACTGATTCATCCTCTGGACAATTTTCTCTTTTTGACATCTCAGTTGGTGCCTTGAATTTTGGTAATTTCCCAGGATATGAATATTAGAGACTGCATATCAATAAATTGTTCAGATAAGGAGATGAAGAGGTACTGGTATGAAGATACCTATGACATCCTGTGGGATGTATTCTGTGTGGGTCTCATTCACAGGAATCCTTTAGCATTTATTCCAGTACACTGGTCTGTAAAGCATCCCCCACAGAGAATTTATTATGGTCCTGTGCAGATAAATTCCTGTTGAGCAGAGTTCATGTTAGTGTGGGCAAAAACATAACTGGCCCTAGATGGGTGTGTGGTTTAGAATGGCCAAACTCAGTGCAGGTACCATCCAGCATTCACACATTGTTCTGTCCCGGCTTTTGTAAGAGAATGGAAAATTATGCCAGACTGGATTTTCTTCCTCATTTAACAGTTTGAATGTAAGACACTATTTTGGCCATGCTTAAGTGTCAGAATGCTTTTGCCTTGCAGTACTTAGTTGCAGTACAATACCTCCCTTTCGCTTGGACCCAGGAGTTTTATCAAAGCACCTCTGACTACACTGTGACCCTTATGAGCCTTCTCCAGCTGACCTTATAAATCAGTTTGCTAGTTTCCATTCCCCATGGAAATGGCTGTAGTCCTCTTCAAGTATTTTCCTTTGTGTCACTATTCTCCCCCCTCAGCTAATTTTAATTGAAGTGAGGGAGGTGAATGGATTCACTCACCTCCAAGGCGTTGCCTGAGTCAGTCCTTGCAGGAAGAGGAAGTGAGGCTGAAGAAGGCAAATTGAGTGAGCATCTGAGCAGTGTGACAGCAGAACTGTAACACCATGCTCCGGGAGGAGACCTTCTATGCAGAGGTTAAATAGGTCCTTAAAATGCATTGATAAATGCACCATACTGAAGCTGGCTCAGATGCATTGTTTTTAGCTTTATGGTACATCACAGATTGTCTACTCTGGTGCAAAGTCAGAACCTTATTCTAATATCAGCTAATATCAAAACTTTGATGACTTTGACACTTGTTGACCCAAATGAAGGCAGTAGCAAACAGGTAGGTACAGAAACAAACAAAACTGGGGGAGCTATGTGCTATTTGAGCATGTCAGCACTAAACTGGGATACGTACTTTGTTTGAATTTCAGTTTTTTATTCAGGGTCAGGCCTAGATTTTCTGGTGGTTCTGCAAAAAGCCAGTGCCATTGCCTATCTGCTTGCTGGATTTCCTTTCCCTATAGAACAAAACAAAACAAAAACCCTTTTATCACTGAAGTAACTTCAGAAGTTTTCAGCACGTTCTGTTTTCTCTCAGTAACTGAATTGTGATATAAACTAATCAGCATTTGAGCTGGTCAGGATCTGAGAGGGAGTTCATAAAAGCAATGGTTGCTTTAGATCTTCACCCCATGGATATTTGTGGAAGTTTACAAAGACAAAACAAGCAGAAAGCAAAGCAACCATGTGCATGTTACAAAAAGATATATTGTTTGGTGTTTATTTACGACTGTCTGGCTGTTGTGATTCTGCAGCAGTCAGTAAGTAACAGATACTAGATGATAAAAACTTGATTGAAAAAAGAGCTTAACCACTGAACTGGGGAAACTGCTTTCCTTTTCACTCATTTTTCCCTTTTGTGTTCCATGACAGCATTCCTCATCTGAGTTCTTTTATCCAAAGAGTCTGGTTCTGCGCAGGCCACGCTCTGCAGAGGTTTGCTGTTGTGTTTTCATAGTGTTGATAATGATCTTCCTTACTGAGAAGATTCTTCATTACTGTCATTTGCTGCGCTTGCTACTACTTCTGCCACACAGCTTTCCTGCTATCACTTGCCACCATGGGCACTGACGCTGTATTTTGCATCACTTGTTTCAGTGTTGCTTGTTAATTCTCACATTTTTTTATTTTGTTTAATGAAATGCTTAAAATTAACTTTTTTATTTTAGATTCAGATGAACTTTTGGGGTCTGTAGTATTGGTCTTCCAGTATTTCAGAAAGTTTTCCTTCTGAAACAAAAATTAGAGTGCAAATATGAAGCAAATGAAAATGGTGAAAAATATCTGATTTTAAAGCAATAGTTAAAAAGAAATAGTTTTCCATGAACAATGACTTATGTTTTTAGGGAAAAAAAGCCATCAATTAAGTCACTTTGTTTTTTTATATATATTGACCAACTAGCTATGAATACTTTAGTTGAGAAAATGCTTATTCAGGTTTGGATATATTCTATGTGCTGCCTGAGAGCATTTGCCTCTCTAGTCTGGTGCACATTTACATCTGAGTTACAAGATCCTCTCTGTCCTCCTGACTTTGGAGTAGCTGTCTGCTTTCAGATTTTGCTGAGTTTGCTTTGCCCCTACAACCACTACCCAATTCCATTTCTTCTCCCTCAGGGCAGTGTTTATTTGTTGGTTGTGTCTGCTGTGGGACGTGTGGCTGTGCTGGTGCACCTTGGGGTAGTTTTCACTTGGTGATGGAGTCTGAGCTCACTGGTGCAGACCTGGTAGAGGCTGGCAGCAGGCAGAGAGGCCATGCCCCTGGATGTTCTTAGTGTTGGTTTGTGCAGCCTTCACATCTCTCATGGCAGAGTAGATGCAGTCAATGTCAGCCAGGGCAGGGTGTCTGTGAGATCCAGCCTGCAGGATGGGGTTGGACAGTGGAATCCAATTCTGTGATTCAGTGGAGGTTGATGCAAGCCCTCTACTCTTTGTCCTGCACAGTGGTTTAGTTACTTAACTACTGCTGAACACCTCTCTCTCTGTTAGATACAGATGTGTATCAAGAAAATGCAGCATAAAAATGTGCTCCTAAGGAGAGCAGTGTCTCTTCAGTCCTAAGCTTTATGGAATCTGAGAACAGCAATGTGGGGCCATTTCTCTCATCTTTTAGGCCAGTGTAGTGACTTTTTGCATTTAGCTTAGGGCACACAAGTCTAAGCTTCCAGTGTTGAAATCCAGGAGCCTCAGGATCCAAATCCTATTCAATGTATTAGAAAAATATGCAAAGCAAAATAAGGGCAGCCCATGTTAAAATAAAGGTGCGCTCTCCTTCTTGCTTTGTAGACTGTGTAGGATACAAATATCTTAGGGTCAGATGGATATCCTCTTGTGTAAATTTGGTCAGTATTAAATGCTGTTTAGATTTACATGGTGATTCTATAAAGTGTTACTCAAGGCAGATTTTGGCTTCAAGTCTTTTTCTACAGAGTAGGCACAAAGGTACTGTCATTGCTGTTGCTATAAAAGTGGGCCAAAGGCTTGAATCTACATGAAAATTGTACTTAGAAAATAGTAAGATGAAATCCACTGAATTCTCTGAAAGCTTGTGTTGAATTCAGTATGTTCTGGACTTCCCACTATATTTTCTTGTTCTTCCCACTTAACTTACTCTTGATGAAAGCTAAGCTTGCATAATAGTATTGTAGAAGTTTGTTTGGTACCAACACCTTCAGTGATTATGTGCTGAAAATTCATTCTCCCTCCTGCCCTTTATGTCCAGAAAGGAAAGAAAAATTAGTTGTAACCTATTAATACCTGTGTCTGTGTGAGTTTGAGCTAAACCTGTTCACTAGTTTTGTCTTGATGCATATTTAGTGTAGAGAAATAAGGAATGCATGTATTTGAAGGAAACACTCTTGTAAGGAGAGGGGTGCAGTTAAACCAGCAGAGAGGCACAAAGAATGCTGACTCTGAGGGACTTTGTTGGTCTTGTACACCCATTGAAAATTACAGAAATCCAGAGGAAATAAATATTTTATGGGCCCTGGTTCCAAATCCTAATCAACTGTAAAACCTTGCAATTGATAGAGCAGGTAGTCAGTGTAAAAAGTGTTGTACTGAGAAAGTCAAATCCCTGACTTTGCTAAGTCTGCCCAGGACAAGAAATTCCATTCTAATCTTTTATTGATTTAAAATATGCTTCACTTAAAGTAGCTCGTGAGGTTTAGAGAATTTGATTAAGCTATAATGTTAAATGTTATTAAGTGAAAACATATTCATTCTTCTGCAGCTATTATCACCGCCTTGCATAATGAACTCTATCAAAAAATTAAGGCAGGTACTGTAAATGGTGACGATGCCTTTGTAAAACGATAGTGCATCCATTTGGCCAGATGTTCTTGGGATCAGTTTTGATCTGGTTGCCTGCACCTGTAAGTTTTTACAGAGCATGATGCTGAACATCTGTACTCGGGAATGCCAGAGCCACCACATTGTAGCAGCACCTGGATGATGTGAATGGCTCTAGTGGGGATTTTTTTTTTTTTTTTTTAAGAAGTTATTTATTTAGATGATGTACCATGCATGATGACATAACAAACAGGGGTAAATGCAGATGAACATCTTAAGCTTTGTAGTCTAATACTGAAATACGAAGTTAATCAGCGTTAATGGAGCGTCTGCATGGGTGATCTGATAATTGAGCACTCAATTCACAATGAAGCTTAGAGGATGAGCATGGCAGTTGGTATTCTCTCTATTAATCTGTAAATTAAACTGGTAAAGAACTTCTTTATTGAAGGTAAATGCATGGAATGAAGAACAAAAACATAAAAATAAGAAGTCTGTGATAAAGTGGGAAATACTGAGAAGTCTTGCAAATACTTTAGATGCTTTGTGATCTGTTTTTTCTTTTGGCTCCTTTAATGACATGCATGAATATTTATTGACTTTTTATTTTTTTCATATACTTCATAGACTTTCTGTATTTGGTAAAGACATCCTATATTGATATATTACAACCATTTGTGTGGAAGAGGAAAAGAATAAAAGATGACTCTCCTACTCTCAGAAAATGTGGAGAAGCCATGTACCACCAGAAAAGAAAAAGAAGATTAGCTCTTCATAGAAATTTCCCTTAAATTTCTCTTCACACAAGTGGCTTTATAAAAGGCTGTATTTGAATCCTTCAAGTAAAAGAACAATCATATCAAAAATGTTTCAGATCTCTTTGTAGAAGAAGTAAGGCAGCTTAACTTGTTTTGTTGCTTGGAGTATAGAGCAAGTGTCACAGGACTATTGTTATGGAAGTAAATACCTCTAAATTATTGCATTTATTTAAAGATTGTGTTCTCTTTTTTCACCCATTTTCTTTCAATAACGTGTGAAAGAGATGCACTCGTGTTAACTCCGTTGTTAAAGGTTACATCAGGGCCAGCCCCATTCCTGCTTTAGCTGATCAGCTCCCCTCCAGGATGGAATTTACACCCCAGTGCAGTTCCATCAATGGAGAACGTGACCTCCAGTGTGCCTCTTGCCACCTGTGTAAGATACAGAGTCACAATGGTGTTACACAGGGTCAGGGATGGAAGTGTAAATTTAGTCTAATAAAAGCCATACCAGGTCACAGATTTTCAAACAGGAGCTTTTATGGGCCTCTTGGGAGAGGAGCCAACCATAGCAACTAAAAGTGTGCCAGAGGAGCAGCTTATATCAAGGAATTTTTGGTGTAAGTTTGTTAAAGCAAGCAGCATAAATGTTTTTAAGTGCAATGCAATTGTCTTTAGGGGAAAATGCAAAGCTGTGAAGGATTCCAGACCATATGGGAAGAAGCAGGGTAGGAAAGAGCCATCTGTGATGGGAACAGCCTGTGTAACTCAAAGTAAGAAATAGGGCATAGTGAGGCAGGAAGGGTGAGAGTAGCTGTACAAGTTCTTTTTCATGCACTGTCTTCAAGGGTATGTTTAGACCTCAGCAAGGTACAGGACTGGGAGCTGCTAGAGGAGCTTGAGAGTTGCAGGTCTGCTTGGATTCAGCTCCTCAGGAAAGGAGCAGAGTGTGCTCAGGCTGTGGCTGGCAGCACGGTGTCCTGGCCAAGCCGTAGGGAGCTTTGCAATAGGCAGAAGGTAAAAGTGATATACACAGAAAGAATCACAGAAAAGAGAAGACTGGTTTAAAGGGTGTAATTTCTGGCTTGTGGCCATGTTAGTGGGATGGTGAAGAGGAACTTGGAACAGAAACACAGTGAGGAAATGAAGAACAGGTGCTACAACTTGCCAGTCCATCTGACGATTCCTCTTCTACTCCAGGGTTAAGAGCACCTAAGAAAGTTTCAGCCATATCCTGATAATAAATATCTTCTTAAGGTGTCTTAACTTTATTTGGTAAATTCACTGAAGTGATAAATGCAAGTGAATTTTCCTTAAACAAAAAAGTTTTTAGCACTGACACTAAGAGATGAACTAAGGAGCTGGAGTGAGGACTGAGAATTTCTTGGTTTTGAGGCAATTATAAAAGATCCAAAGGGCCTGCCAAGTGGGAATAAGCCATAACTGCCTCTAACACTTGTTTTCCTACAACAGGGAAAATTGAGCAGACAAAACTCTCAAAGTATGTCTGCCAAAAGCCAAAGGTAACAGAGACACCCCTAAAAGTACCTCAAGTACTTAATACTGTTCCCTATGTTGTAATGAAAACAATTGTTTTCCATAGTAACTGCAGCAACATGTTACATGTGTCTCCACTGAAACAGAGTGAAATGGAAGAATGGAAGGGGATATAAAGTGTTTCTCAACAGCAGCCAGATTTTCCAGCTAGATTCTTGTAACATTTCCATGAAACAAGTGCTTGTTGTTGGGTTTTCTGGTTTGGGAGGAGTTTAAGGGCAGATGAGAATATTCTGTTCCCTTTTGAGATGTAGGAATTTGCAGCCTCAGAGAGAAAAGAAAAGAAACATGTAAAGGTCCAGCTGAGAAAGTGTTCTCAAACATGCTCTGGAGAGGTTTTGTGACTTTGTCAGTCAACAGCTACATCTGCTCTCTGTTTGATCTGAATCTTGCGTTTTTTGGTGGAACATATTCAAAGCTTTTTGTTTCTCTAGCCCTCCCTGAATGTGGTGACTTAATTTTCAAAAGTGAAGTCAGAGAAAGCCTGCTGTATAATCCATAGTCTTCGGCACTTTGTATACAGATGGTTCCAATAGCTTCTCTGGCTTTGAAATTAAAAGTAGAAAGTCTCTGGGGTGAGTTGAAGGGTTACTTCAGGAAATGTATGCTCAGAGGTAAGATAGGTCCAGTAGCCTTTTTGTGTTCATCCAATATTTCTTAAGAAACAGTGAGCCAGGCTGTCAAGCCTTGTTTCTCTTCAGGTATGCCTGAAGGTCCCTTAGTCCAGGGGACCTGATGTCACAAGCTGATGAGGTAAGGACTGTTTTCCAGGATTTAATTTTAAGTAACCTTGAAGTATACCACTGCTCTGGTGTCATCAGAGTCATATGCTGACACAAAGTTTTGTGATGGGATTTGGTTCTTTGCAGTCAATTAGGGAGCAAAAATTGTTCATAGTTTCTCAGTTGCAGTTGGGATATGGTTGACTTGACTACCTGTGTGTATTGTGCTGTATGCCAAGTTCAGGAGTAATCATCACAATAACCAGGGTGACTTTTGATCAAATAGAATACTTTGCAAATGCATGAGGTTTTCAGGATCCCCACAGGTCATCAGTTGTTTCCTCTCCTCTCACAGAACTTCCCTCAGGGCATCAGTGTCTGTTTAGTTCTGAAAAAGTGTTGGAAAATCTACTAAATGTAGCAGCATTAGTTCTGTAGGGATGAGAGTGTTGTCATGAGTTTCAGTTTGCAGAACATGGTCATTAAAAATCATGACTTTTGCAGTATAGGGAACCATGACATTGAAACCAACATTTGACTTCCCTGCTGCATCCTGGTTGTGCTGCAGATGTAGGGAACAACTCCAAGCAAAGGATTTCAGGTCCCTTTACTTAGGAAGGCTGAATTCAGTTCTGATGATGTTATTCCTAATGGAAATCCAGGGATTGAACACCTGGAAAGAGATTACATGTGTGCAGTTCTCCTCACAACAGTTTTGTCTGCTGGGCTGCTGATCCCTGCAGTGGTTTGTGAACTAACCTGTTGCTAAAATGACCAGCAGGACTGTCCTGGGTGGTTCTTTGTATGGCTCCTACAGTGTCTCTGCAGGTGTTGTTTGATTTTGTTCTTATTGTTGTCAGTCCAGTCTTTTACACTGTATGATTTAGAAAACCTCTTCCCCTCTCACACCACTCCTTCCCCTACCAAAAAAAAAAACAAACAAACCAAAAAGCCACCAAACCCCACTTGCCTCACAAGATTGTGGAATTTGCCAGAATGCTTGCATTTGTGTTGACATTTTCTTAAATTCAGTTATTTTCAATAATGCAGATTTCTTCACTTAAAGTTGCCAACATTAATGGCTTCAGATTGCTCTCAAAAGTTCCCTTTTGTTTTTCAGCCTACAAGAACATCATCAGAAAGCATTTATTCCAGACCAGGTTCCAGTATACCTGGCTCTCCAGGCCACACTATCTATGTAAGTATTCCTCTGATGAATAAGCTGCCCAGCCTTTGCTTGCACATCAACTACCCATGCTGAAATAAATCACTTTTATACTGATGCGTTATCTTAGTGCTTGAATTGTTAAAACTTCGCCACGTAGCTTTTATAGCTACAGGATTCCAAGAGCAGGGTAGGCCTTTTCCAGGTCCCATTTCTCTTGGAAAGGTACAGTAAATCTTTTGGTGATGAGAAGAGGGACAGACGGCAGAGGGGTCGTTCGACTTTGTAAGGACTTTGTGAAGAGATCTGTGCACTTTGATACACAGTTTTAGAGAGGTCTGCACTCTGCACTGGGGGAATGTGGGGAGCAGGGTCAGCTACACTGAAAGAAACCTATCTAATCCAACACCTTCCAAGTCAGAAATCACATTTTTGGGTTGTGAAAGGAAAGCTGTTTTTAATTTAGGGAAAAAATGTTATTAAGCATAATGCTAAATCACTGATTTTATTGATAACCTTGAGATTATATGGATGGAAATGTTGAGTAAACCCCAGAAGTTAGGCAGTTACATTTATAACAATGCATTTAAAAATGTCCAAAATTACAAATCTCACGTCCTGAGTTAAACTCTAGTACTATGCATTTCAACAACCACAAAAATAAGCTGATATATGAATAGTGTTGACACTGCAGATATCAAAAGACAAAGCATGTTCTGGAGAACTGTCATTATGTGGGTAATATCAACTTCATAAACTGTAGCTTATGAAAATAAATTGCTGCTCATAATCACTGTCTGTGGAGCAATATGGCAGCCTAGATCAGGGTCTACAAAAATATCTGTAATAATTTATATTGGATAAAGAGTATGCAGGCATATTTGCACCTCATTAACAAACTAGTAAAAATACAGAAATAACATACATTGATTTACCTAAACATTTTAAGGATTAAAATGGTTTAAGGTATTTTTTAATACCTGGTTATTAAAAGCTAAACAGATTTGAGTCTGTTTGTAGAAAGTGAATGTCCCAAATATTTCAAACCTTGCTTCTCTAGCAAGAAAGTTTTTTTTATTATTTCTAGTTGAAGGCATTGTTTGAGAACCACCAAGACCAGTGGTTGTTAAAAGAGCTTGCAAAGGCAAATGCATATTAATCTGAGATTACTAGGTGCTAGCACTCAGAGCAGAAGTGAATGTGAATTTCCTTATGCAATCTACTATTAATAAAGTATCTTTTAGAAGGGTTGAGAAACAATTTGAATATCCTCTTTCAATTTTAGTCATAAATGTATTTCTGTAAGGTAGATAAATATGTATGATGATTTATTTAAAGTCTTTCTGTAAGTAAAGAAATATATTAGTTATCTAAACTAAATCTAAGGCCCCTTTCTCCCTGTAATGGGTGCAGCTGACTTCAGAATTCTTTCCTATTTCTATTTTTTTAACTAGTTAAGATCTCCTTGCAGTCTTAGTGGAAAAAAATAGTCCATGCTTGCACCATCTAGTTGGTAAGGAGTGAATGCTTTAGTCAGAAGCTTGGGCATAGAATGAGTGATGAATGCAATGTAATTATTTTATTTGGGAGTTTGGATACCCAGTCCTGACAGTCCTCCTTGTCTTTTTATTTCCTTCCAATAAGTTCTGTTTCCTCCTGTGTGCACAGTTACAAATTGAGTATCTGTCTGTGGTCTTCAGCATGAAATCCTTTTGTAATCTCTGTAATCAGCGAACTAAATTGATGTTATCACCCATTTTACATATGGGAAAACAAGAGCAGAAAGGTGAAAATACTTGCCTGAGGCCACAAAATGAGTCATTTGCAGAGCTGAAGTTTCCAGCTCACTACTGGGGATAAAAAAACTTTTGTAACTAGATCTGTATATGCCATGTTCTTTCTTCCCTAAGAGAAGAGAAAACACTGTGAGCTGCTGCAGAGGAGGCCTGCTGGAGAAGAACAAGAAGCATTCACTCCAGATGTAGGGTGCCAAAAAGGGGTTTCCGTAGCAACAGTGTGACAACAAATACACAAAATCATGAATTGTGTAAAACAGAAATTGCCAGTGCATTTGTGTAAGTTAATTTATCTTCTGTCTTTGCCCTTTAGGCAAAAGTAGACAATGAAATCCTTGATTACAAGGATTTAGCAGCCATTCCCAAAGTCAAGGCCATTTATGACATTGAACGTCCAGACCTAATTACTTATGAGCCATTCTACACCTCCGCCTACGAGGACAGACAGGAGAGACAGAGTCTTGGAGAGGTAATGACCCACCAGCACCTCATTCTGCTGTGCACTGCATCCAGAGCCTGCTTCGCTCCCATGGCGCTGCTGGAGGTGGATTTTGCTGCTGTTCACACTGCTTTGTGTCTGTCTCATCTGGGGAACTGGGAGCGCTCACGGTGCTGCCTGACGTGTGCCACTGCAGGGTCAGGCACCTGCAATATCACAGGGGGCAGGTCTGCACACAGCTCTGTGTGCTTCCTCATAACTCCCATGGATATCCTCACCTTTGGGAATGGCAAGGCACGTGAGGCAAAAGGCAATGTGCTGTTGTGCTGTGGAACACCAATATTCACAAGAGAATAGGAGGAATGCCATGATATTCTACGGACTAGGAGCACAGGATACTTATCTCACAGGTACTTCAGGGAAATGTGTATCTCCAGAGCACTTTGCCAGACATACTGGATAAAATTGTGGCAGGATGAAGTGCTATTCCACCTGGGAAAGCAGGCTAATTGTGTTATAGAAATACCTGCCTCACATTTTGACCTGCTGACATTTTTTAAGGGTTCTTGTATCACACAGCAATAAGAAAAAGCTATGTCATTTATTCTTCTAAACTCGTATGTGAAGGTATCTTTCAGATTGTCAGTTCCCAGTTTTCTCAGGTGAATTTCCATAGCTGCAATTACTATTTACATGATTCCAGTGCAGTCTGTGAGGCAAGCTTTGTCATGTAATAACCATCTGTCTCTGAATCAGACTTCCTGAATGCAAATCTAAATGGACGTGGAAATGGATTTACTGCTGCAATCTTAGTGACCTTACTGACTGTAACTGAATTGAGTATGAAGATAAGTAGAAGAAAGAATTACAGTAAATCATTCAGGCACCAGTGGTCTGTAGATCACCAGTGTGACTAATAATCTGTTTTCTTATCAGTGTTCTGCCCACCAGCAGGTCAGAACTGCATCAGTTTTTCTCCTTTGTTCTTAAATGTTTTATAGAGCTAGTTTTTTAAATCATTAATTGGAAATTCAGCTCAGGAATAAAATAAGAGATTAACAGGTCATAGCATTACAGAATTTCTCCCCTCCAGTTTATGTTGGTAGTGAATCCAGCTGGCATCTGGTTCAAAACCACTGTGAGAAGCATTGGTGACCTCTGACCAGTTCCAACAGGCCTGACCCAGTCCACAAAACCTGCTACAAACACATCTCTTGTTAGTCACACAGGGGGAACTGATCTCACCAGAGAAGGTGAACTGTATGCTAATCCTTAAAGGGAAGCTTCTTACTGACAAGGCAGTATGTTGGAAGCTGATAAAGCAGTATGGTGTAAGTTGTCAGCTTTTATGCTTGTTCTGGGAATAAGCAAAAGCCTTTGGGGTTTTCTTACACCATATTTTCACCAGCATTAAATTCAGTGAATTTCTGGTGGCTACAGAGTTTGTTCTGGAAACAGAAGGGGCTCTCGCCTTCTTTTCAGAAGATCTCGGGTTTTCACCCAGTGCTGCTGCTGACTTCTGTCACCTTGGGCAAGTTACCTCACCTCTTTGTATCTGTTTCTCATCCCTTCCCTTGCCCTAATGAGGACACAAGCCCATTGGGGTGGAGTGATCCCTGACCCTGTGTTTGTGTCGTGGTCATCGAGTGACAGCAATCTTGGTACAGCGTACATCGGTCCCCATCTTTAAAAAGCAAAGACGGTGACAGGTTTAGTCGTGCAGACAGTGATTTATCCTGCATTCTCTTTGCAAAGGGTGTGTTAAATAAAAGGGAACTCTCAGTTTATGCTTGTAGAACTACAAGCATAATCCTGATTTTGAATGAAAAAAAATATTCACCAGTTTCAGCCAAGAAAGATTTTTGGGTGTGCAAGGGGTATGCGCAAGAAGCACCAAAGTTAATCCAGAGACGGACACAAATTCAGGGAATAACAATTCCCTTCATTCTAGGGGATAATCTGCACAGAACCGACAGGTTTTAGCCGGGAGAGAGGGAAAGCGGGCGGGAGGAGCGGGCGGTGTGTGAGGCCGGGCCCGGGCCGGGCGGGTCCCGCCGCTCGCTGCTCCCGCGCGGCCCCGGCGCCCTCTGCGGGGCCGGCCTGGCTCCGCCTGCCATCGGCCTGCAGCGCAAACCAGGCCGCAATTCATTAACCCTCTGCTACCGCTGAGGAGACCCAGAAACCGCCCGTGCTCAGGTCCTTCGGGACCTGTCCCTTGTGCCTGGCTCCGCCTGCCATCGGCCTGCAGCGCAAACCAGGCCGCAATTCATCAACCCTCTGCTACCGCTGAGGAGACCCAGAAACCGCCCAGTGCTCAGGTCCTTCGGGACCTGTCCCTTGTGCCTGGCTCCGCCTGCCATCGGCCCTGCAGCGCAAACCAGGCCGCAATTCATCAACCCTCTGCTACCGCTGAGGAGACCCAGAAACCGCCCGTGCTCAGGTCCTTCGGGACCTGTCCCTTGTGCCTGGCTCCGCCTGCCATCGGCCCTGCAGCGCAAACCAGGCCGCAATTCATTAACCCTCTGCTACCGCTGAGGAGGCTCCCAGAAACCGCCCGTGCTCAGATCCTTCGGGACCTGTCCCTTCTGCCTTGCAAGCAGCAGCCTGCTGAGCGCTGAGGCTTTTGTCAGCGCCGCCTTTTGTGGGGTATATATTGAGAAGCAGCGCTTTACCTCTGTGTCCTTTATTTCAAGTATTCTGTTTGTTTTAAAGCACGAAATGCTTTGAAGCACCTTTCACTAAACAAGCAAACACGAAATGAGAAGAGGATTTTTTACTAACATGATAGATGCTTTAAAATGGAGCAGGGGTCCCGCCTGGTAGTTCAGTTAAAAGACAGCTAAAGCGGTATCAGTGTGAAATGCAGAATGACACCTGTAAAAGTTGGCAGAAATTAGACAAAATTGCCTGTGTGGCTTCAGGTATTAGAGCAGACTCTCAGATTCAAAGCAACAAAGAATTGGGCTTGTTGCAATAGAAATTTTTATGTAAGTTTGGCCAGAACAAGCCCTCTTTCTTTTCTCTTTCCCCTTCCCCTTCTGGAGTCATCCCTGTATTTCCAGTGGCTTGCTGTTATTTTCACTGGCTTGCTGTTCTGGGACGGAGCTGCTTTTCTCACTTGCCTGCACAGAGGGTTTAGAACTGACCATAGTGTGGCCTTCTGTGACAGACCAGGTTTTGAAAGACCTGGAGAAGCAAACGTTCCTTGGCAACCTCAGAGTCTGAGATCTGACAGTTCACCTGTGCATGTAAAACATGCATGTCAAACAGTAACTTGGCTGCAGAGTGGGGTTCCATTTCCCAAAAAGCCATGAGACAATGTCAGCTAGTGATGGAGTAAAAATACGAGAAGGAAAAAACACCTGGATTCAGCATGCTACTTTCTGGGCTGTCTTCCCAGTCTTAGATTCCTATGACTACCTTTTACTGTAGCCATTACCTCAGCATCCAGGTAACCCCAGCAGATGATAGAAATTCATTTATTTAGAGTAACACATGGATTGCTAGTATAAAAATGTGGGAATGTACCTCACAACATGTGCTTTTTTCATTCATATTGAAAGTTTTAGGTTGGCTCTCAGTTTTTTAGAGAATGTTGTTCCAAAGCACTGTGTGGAGCAAGGTTTTTACAGCTGCTGCTGTTACATGATAGGAAGCAGGAAAAGATGAATATAAAAGACTTTCAAGGCTTTGATGGAAAGTAGCAAAAGCAGTTCTTAACAGCTTTATGGAAACTTGCTGAAAAGGAGATGTCCTATATCCAATAAAATACATTGTTCCTTTGTTTGCATACTTAGCATTCCCAGTGTCCCCAGCTCCATAAGAGTGAATGGTCTCTCAATCTAAAATTTATGGATTATCTACCAGCTGGATATTTATTGCCAGCAACTCTGCATACATTTTTCACTACTGCTGTTGTACATTAGTGTAGTAGTTGGATCAGAATCAGCAGTTTTCCTTCTGAGATATTATCTTAATAGCTATATCATTCTATAATTGTGGTCTTATTTAAAAGCATAATCTCTTACCCTGTTTACTATGACAAATAATATTGAAGTTTTGTGCACAAAGGAAATAATTAAATCCTGATCTCCCAGCTTCAAATTGTCTGGTGGTTGAAGAGCACATAACTGGTAATTATACATAGCCTTTATTCTTGTTTGTACCATCATATGCATAATCATATGTTTCATCTTGCCTCAGTTTCCCTATCTGTGTTACAGAAACTTTTCATAATATTGTGCATATTTCTGCCCACTGGCCTTTGTGCAGTTCTTTCAGTACACATGCTTATATTTCCTGTCTGTTCTCCTTACGTAACCATAGAGGAACACAGAGATTTAAAGGAGGTCATATCAAAGAAATGCTGATGACAACTACGTGCTCCTTTGCATGGGTATGAAATATAAGGCCTTGGGGAGAAGCACATTTTTGCCAGAGTGTGTGTGTTGGAGGGAAAACATGCTTCATCCTGAAAGATACTCTGTATTTTGATTTTCCATGCAAAGCTTGGAGTTAAGTTTATTTACTTTTGATTTCCATTTTAAAGATTTCTTCATGACAGGCATGGTTGTTAAATTAGTAACTCTTTCGGGTTTTGATCTTTACAGCTATGTTTTAATTACCACAATGATTAGATGGCTAAGATGATCTTGCGTGATACTTGACTGAATTAATCATGCTTATAAAGATTCTCCCAGAAACTTTAAATATCAATGATTTATGGACCAGTCCCAGGGCCAGGTGGAAAAAACAGATTCCATTGCTGGAATGGTCTCAGTAATTTCTGCATTGTCACTTTACACTGTCCCATGTCAGAGAATCTGCAGCAATGTCTAGATTACCATTTTCTAGCCCAGCATATGCAATGATATTTCATAACCTTATTTTTTGTATCTTTGCAGTCTCCAAGGACTTTATCACCTACCCCTTCTGCAGAAGTAAGTTTGGTGGAACTCTGGGGGCAGTCCTACTGTGATTAGAATTATTCCCTCGAGCCAGTGCAGGCGTTGGGTTTGTTGTCAGTCGGATCCATCTCTGTTTGCCACACAGGCGTGTTTTCTCAATGTTGAAACTTAACAAAAATTATTTCTAGGAAGGAAACATGAAGCTTTTATTGAGAGATTTTACAAGAAGTGGAGCTGCCACTCCTCTCACTTACTGCCTGTAAAACAGAGCCCTTTGTCCAGCAGGTGTCACTTCTAGTACATTCCTGCTCCTTGTGGCACCAGCAGCTGCAGGATTTACAGGAGATAAAATGCTGCTCTAAGCATCCAAATAATAACCCATATTTGCTACTGAAACATCTGCAGTTTTGTCTTGAAGAAAACATAACGATATGGTCTGTTTGGTTTTGCTTTGCCAGAGGAGTTAATTTGAACATCCTAATAACATGGACCAGTTGGGAAGTCATTTGTCAGGATACAATAGATGTGGAATCATTATCATTACATTATCCTGTTGCTTCTTGGCAACATAAAAGTTGTACTTACTGCTACTAGTTAAAAGTTAAGGGACTGTAATATTTCTTGTAAATCTTCATGCATTAATCAGTCTTTTCACTTTTGTCCTGGTTTCGTTTGCTTCATGAAGGGATGGGGGGTGAGGGTGTCATTTGTTCTGAGGTATTTTGTTTGTTTCTTTTATTGGCTTTTTTACCCCCAGTAAACCAAGTACACTGAATTTTGCTGTACAAGGTGTCATGTTTTCAGATGAATGGGGAATCTGATTTGCATATAAATACCTGCTGATGTAGCTGGTGGTCAGTTTAGCCACAGAGAGCTCTGTGCTGCAGCTATTGAATTCTTGCTGGTGTCCAAGTTAGGCCACTGATGGCCAGGTCGTGTGTCTTGTGCAGGACACTGCAGGACACACGTGCTCGGGATGCAGCTTCCCTTATAGAGTCAGGGAATGTGGGCAAATCTAGTATTATTATAGAGTTTAATAGAAATTACAGGTGGAGTTGGAACCTTCCAATACTCTGAATTCTGACTACAAAAATGGGTTGGAGCAGATCCTTGGGGAGCAGTGCTAATGAAGTAGGTTGAAAGCTTAAGGGATGTTGCTATTTCAGTCGCTTCTGCTGATGCCTTCAGATCCATGGAACTTAAGTGCTGCTAAAAATGTGTTCAGTGCATTTGCATTTACCAGTGGCTGCCTGTGTCCTGCAGGGCTACCAGGACGTTCGGGACCGCATGATTCACAGGTCGACCAGCCAGGGCTCCATTAACTCTCCCGTGTACAGCCGGCACAGCTACACCCCCACCATGTCACGTTCCCCCCAGCACTTCCACAGACCTGGTAAGGCCAACTGCATTACAGATCCATGCAAAAATAATGTTTATTTATTATGCCACTCAGTGGTGCAGTGAAGCACTTCTTTCTCTTAGAAGTGGAAGTTTAGGATTGAAAATTTGTTGTATATTTTAATGTCTCGTTTTCTACCTGATTTTTTGTTCTGGATTGACATAGTCTTTTGCACTAGGCTGTTTCTTGTATCATAAATATGCATCTTCTGGTTTTGTTTCCAATCAATTCTTTTAAAAATATTTGTATGTTTCTGAAAGCAAGCAAAAATTTGCAGTGGTGAATTGCAAAGTTCATTCTGGAATTTGGGAAAAGTATCACATATTGGAAACAAAAATTATGGCTTGGCTGTACAGAAGTTAGTAATTTAAGTTTGTTCCCTTATAAAAAATTCCTTAAAGCTTGGTGCAGCCATAGAATCTCAGAAGCAAAACACCCATATGTTCCAAATTGCTTGTCATTTTTTAAGACACAGACTCAGAAGGTTTCTATCTTTTTAATTAAAGGTGTAGGCATTTGCCTGGGAACACTTGAAAACATACTTTATTTCTGGTCTGGCAGTGATGTACCAAGTCCTATGTACAATACAGAAAATGTGCAGGTCATTCAGGTTCCCAGTGCCTTCAAATTACTGGTTGTATATCTGAAAGCAAGATATGAAAATGAACTATTCATCCACACCCAAAATGCATAAAAATGTATTGCTAAATGCTACTTGTTGAAGACTTATCAAGACTGATTTTATTGTGTATGGTAATGAATTAAATCTTTGTGATCTGTTTTTAAATTAATTGATACAATTGCATGGTTTCATCCTCCTTGGTGATTACAGCTGAACAGTTGGGATGCCAAAAGCCCATATGCAATAGGAGCTGCATTTTTAAAATTAAAGATTTATAATAGAGCCACCACTGTGAATATTGAATGCTGTAGCCATTTCCTATGGGGGTGGGCTGAAAGCAGCCAATTGTGTCTGTCAGTGAATGCCTTATTTAAGGGACCCAAGGGAGGTGGGACAGAAGCAAATTGTGTCTGTTACTTAGTGCTGACAACATGACTGTGTTTTAAGATGATGTTACAACTGAAACTGAAAGAGACTTGAAAATGTGAAAAAGCTGCAAACTTCTGTCCCTTGGTTCTCCATGTCTGAGGGGATTTTTCCATTTTTATCTGTTGTCTCAGGGATATGAGCAAATTCACGCCCTATTCCAGACTTGGGTGTGATTGAGTTTTACTGTCTGCGTTCAGTCAAAGACCTTCCCCAGAAGCAATCTCTGTTTATGTAACTCTGGTGATGGGCAGGTGGGCTCAAGCCAGACTTGTGATCCAATGTAAAATCTTCCAGAGTCCACAGCCTGAAGGATTTTCTGGAGAGATATTTGTTCAAACTTATCTGTGTTCAGATGATCTCATCTTGGGCTCACCTGTTACTGATCCTCATATGACACAGAAATAATTCTGTATAATTTGTCATCTGATGTTTCATACCCTGTTTTGGGGTAATTGTTAAAGCTACTTTAATCATTTTCCTACATTAATTATTTATTGAATAATAGCACAAATATATTTGTTTTTTTCCTCCTAATAGCACTTCATTTCACCATTTTATTTTGCAAGAATAGTTTCTCTCTGAATAAGCCCAGTGGCCCCAGATCACTTCTCTTTTGCTCCCAGCTAGTCCTTGAGAGAGAAGTGAACTGCTGTACTGACGTTGTCAGGATAAGGTTCTTCAAAAATCGAGTGCTACAAGTTCTGAAAAAGTTTGCAGCCTTTTCCTCCACTGGTGCCCTAGCTGATGTTGGCAGCATTTTTGGAATGTCTTAAAACAATAGAAAACAGCTTGCTTGCCTCTTGACTGACATTTTTTGGTCAGACACTTTTCAAACCAGCTGCTTTCTTAACTAGTTAAGCGTCAATGTTTGTGATGTTTGCATGCTGGTAGCAGGCTACTTTCTAGTAATAAGGCATTGCTCAGAAGCTCATTAAGCCAATGAGGTTATGCTAAATTAGCAACGCAGCTCAACCCTAAGCCTCTTTTCTAACACTTCCTGTAATTTTGTCTTAACATTTACGGGGCCCTTTGGTGCGTCTTTAACCGTTTTGTTGTTTTTTTCTCCTTCCTTCTTTCCAGAATCCTAATTGTTCAATGCCTTTTTTTCTCTGCTTCCTTCGAAGCCTCCTTCCCTGCCTGTCTCTTATTGCTTTTCTTTGTCTCCGTTCTGTCCTGCCCCCGCCTCCCCGCCACCGCAGAGCTGCTGGCTCTGGGCGCGCGGCGCGTGGCTCCCCCGCGCTCCAGCGGCCCCGCGCTCCATGACTCCCGCCCCAACTCCCCATTCCGACACCACTTCATCCCCCATGCCAAAGGTAAGGAGACAGGCCTCTCTCCAGGGAGTACCCTCCAGGCTGGAGATCTGGTAGCGCTCTGGCAGAGCTCTGAAGGCATGTCTCGGGGAGGTTGCCTATGGCTGTGTAGCTGAGCATGCCTCGAAATGTGCTGTTGCACTCAAAACTACGTTTAGAATAGACATAATGTCCTTTTTTTGGAGGAAATATGTCATTTCTAAGGGCCCTAGTTGAAGAGTCACCAAGCATTTACCTGGTAGAACTACACAGAGAAGCATTGTCACTTATTACTCAGAACCTGTATGTGCCTAATTTAGCTTATTTCTAAAGTAGTACACAACAATCCCTTCAGCAGCTGATTTATCAAATTTAATTATTACTGCCTCATTCTTAAAACATGCAGTGAAAATTTGATTACAGTATTGCTTGAATGAGAACAAGGTGATCAAAAATATGAAGGAGAAGAAAAAGAGACGATACAAAGATCAATGGCAACAAGGAATTCACCTTGGCAATAATTAGGGCCCAACAAATTAAAATTAAAATCTCTAGGCCTCTCCTCAGCTAGTGCAAATCAGCAGGCTCTGCTGAAGGCAGTAGCACTGCAAGGATTTACATTCTTTGAGGATCTGGTCTTTTTTTAAATCATTTACTTTCCATGGTTTGATTTGGAGGATTCTTCTTTCACTGTGTCTGTTCAAGGAACACATTTAGCTCAATAAGCTTTTAGTTTTGTTTCTTGCTTTTTGTGAATGTGGTTTTACTCTGAGTTCTATTGGACCACTTGGCTGGGCCATCTCTTCTGTTTGGGTGGAGAAGGTCACAGCTTATATCACCTACAAGAGTTCAAAAAGACAAAGCTGAGTATATTGAACATAGATTCCAATCTGTCACCATTGATTAATACAGATATTCATACACTGGAGATAATCAAAAGCAGTTGCAAGAAAGCTGTTGCCATGAAGTTTCAAGAAATGCTAATAGATCTCAACATCATAGCTCCTTAAAGCATTCAGATCACCACCACAAATTTTACTCTTGCCTTTTTTAAGATGATTTTTGATAATCTGCACTGTTCACTTTTCTACTATGTCTCTATTTTTAAAAAAATCTCACTTAAAAAGATTGGGACCCTTAAAAATAGCAATACTGCTCATTTCAGCATGCAGTTAATTCATAGTCCTTGCAATTTCAACATTTCTTTGCTGTAAATCCAAATTAATGCTCACACTCTTTCAAGTGGCATTTTCATTCTTTTTCTGTTGAGAAAATAGCTTCTTCAACAGATAAATGAGAAGAACTATTGGAAACCCATGCTTATTGTTTTCAGATTGCAAAGAATCACCTTGGCATGTAGGTCAGATATCTTTCTCAGTTATTGTTAGGAAAGGCCAAGTGGGATTGCAAGTGCTGTAGACAGAGAGGAGGAGTATGGCTTTTATCAGGTATGTCCTGAAAGATGTTGTGGGAATCTTCAATTTTCTGAAGGCCTAAATAGCATTTATGTGTCATAACTCAGCCAAGCTTCTGAAAGCTCAAATTCATGTCACTGTGACAGAAGAGGCACCATGTGATCTTTTTAGTAGCTCGGCCTTTCTCACTTGTACTTTTAGCAAGAAGGTGACCTTGATGTTGGTTTGTAAGAAAGATATCACAAAATTATATCTTTTGGGGTTTTCCCTTTAGGAGTCAGAAAATACAGATCATGTCTCAACTGCTTTGGTAAGGCGCCATGATTTCCCAGCAGCATAATGATAACTGAAGTGTCATATGACACATTACACCCATGTTATTTTGTATACTCAGGCCAGAAAAGAAGACATTTAGACCAGTTTCAGTGTGTTTTCATACAGCATAAGGCTTAAAGAAGCATAATGATTAAACCTTATAAACACAGCCAGAAGTAAAGAAATTGAACAAGTGAAAGGGGCTAAACATGCCTTAGAATGAGAGTTTGTTGATGTAACATGTATGTTGAAAAGGCTGGAAGAGTGTGTAATATGCATCAGTTTAAACTTCATTTAATCTAATTTGGACTCTGCATTGAATTTGGTCCTGTCTCAATAAAGCACTGTCTTTGCTATGAAAGAATCAAAACAAGTCCACAAATGAAAGAAACCCTGACCCTTCTGAATTCAGAGACAGAACCCTCATTGAGGGCCAGGATTTCATCTTGCATGCCTAGAATTTTTCAGAGGCTTTCAAGAATGTTGCAAAGTCCCTATAAGATCTCCATGTAAAAGAGTTCCAAAGCAGACATTTCCATGAGGAATCTACCCACCTTGATTTTCACAGGTTCCTTCTTTCCTTCCCTGAGGCAGGTCTTTGAAATCAAATGCTTTCTGTACCTGGAAACTCTTTCCAGGGTTTTGTGGATGCGGGTGAAAGTTCTGCTCTGGAAGACAGTTGTGTATTGGTTTTTCAATGATTTTCAGTTCCCTGTGTGAAATAAAGGCTACACATCTGTTCAAGAAGATATGTGATAGTTTGACAAAACCTGAACAGGAGTAAGGGTTTCAGGTACTGTGGAGCTTGTTTTCCTATGTCTACTCAGAATTAAAGCAACTAGAGTGGAACCTGACAGAAGGCTCAGCATTGGTTGCATATGGGGTTTTTGGCCTGATTCTGTGAGCTGAGCTTGTGAATCCCACAGTGAGCCCAGTGGTGAGCACTTCAGAAGGCAGCAGGGACCTGCATTACACTGGGCTGTGCGTGGGCAAGCAATTCTATTCCTGGCTGCTAGGGCAGTTTGCCTAACAAATTCAGCTATAGATAACATCTACCTGATGGAGCAAAAGGAATGGAAGAAAAAAACACCTTTGAATTTCCTTTCTGCTGTGCTCTAATGATTGATTTTTATATTAGCTTGTTCCATTATCTCTTAACATCCCCCCACCTACACACAGACATATTCAACTTCATGACCAGGGTGTGAGAATTAGTTCTTTCTACAGTGTTGGTGAACTGGAGTGCTCTTGTTGCTTTGGGGAGTTAAGAGTAGTTACAGCATATCTGCAGCAGCAAGAGAGCCATTTCTGTGCAGGCAAGGAATTTAATGGGTTTTTATGTAAAGCTGCAAGCAGGCTGGCATGAGGCCCTGGGAGGTAGGTACAGGCAGCCAGGAGCTCTGCTTTCCTCTGTGCATGTGCACGTTCCACAGATGTTGGCGCTGCTTCCATAAATTGTGGGTGGTTTTACAGCTGCACCCCAAGCACTTAAGCCTCCTTATGAGAGTGGGCTCCTCAGGGATGGCCTAATGGGAATCTAAGTGGATGTACCATTCCTTCTTGCAGAGGTTGGAGGCAATGAGGCTGCCATCCTAGGAAGTGTAAAGGGGAGTTTTTTGTGACTACTAGCAGGAGTCATTAGGTACCCCAGGAAATAGAAGCCAACAGAGGCATCTGTAAAGCAGGATGATACCACAGTGACTGTCTGCCTGGTACTGGGTGCATTATACAGCATGTCCAGTTCTCTCTGAACAAATTATCTGTGTCCCAGATGCAAGACCAGCCAGCATACATTTATGGGTGTGAGCACACTTTGTTGTGTCTAGAGGTAGAGAGGGGTCTAAGAAGGGTTTCTTCCCTGTATTTGTGGTGTTGGTGATAGAAGCATTGCAAATCGAACATGCACACATTTAGTCTACCAGTTCCCAACAGGTAAAATGTATTTGTGACTCTTCTGTTGAGAAAAGTCCTCAGGTCAATAAATCCCTTTTGTTTTTTCTCTTTATTGAGTATAATTGCCAAAGGAAGCAAAAAGGCAGAGTGACATGTTCTCTATAAACAACTAACTGTATCTCAAGACGTGTTAATATTGATGGGGTTTTTTCCTTATAAAACAATGTTTTTGCTGAAAAGTAACTCATAATTCCTCAGAAGAATCAACAGGCATAAGTAAAATCAAGTGAGGTGTTTCACCATCACAATATCTCAAAGGGTGGAGAAGTAGAACACAATATTGGAATTGCTAAGTAAAGGCCCATAGATTGAGATATAATAATAATGTTTAACTAATCATTCATGCTGCTTTTCAGAGATAGAAAACTTAATGTTACCTGGCCAGAAGCTCAGCATCACTGCACCCAGAATAGAAAACCACCATCAACACATGTGGTTGAGAGAGTATCATGTCATTTAGGGCTGAAATTCAAGTGCTAAATGTAGAGTTTTGGGCATGCTTTCCTCTGGACAAGTGTTGTACGGCCAAGCCCCCTGAACTGTGCATGTAATTTTTAAAACATTTGTATGCAGTGGGTTAACTTATATACTGGTTGAAGCCTCTGGAGCGCATCTCAGCAAGGTTTGTAAAAGAGCTTTTTTTTCTTCCCCTTTAGTGCCTTTTAGATTGGTAGATGACTGTTCAAGTAGAAGAGGATTTATTGTGTAAACTGTAAAGAAAACTTCTTTTTTCCTTCACCCACACCTGTTTCCCCATCTCAAATAGGTAAATAGTGTGCTGTGTCTAAGGCTTTGGGGCCTCTAACAGGAGAAGGAAAAAGGCCTGAAATTTATTTTTTCTTAAGTTTTATAGCCCTTCTGCATTTGTTACCATTTCCTCCTCCATCCTCCATTTTTTTTCCTGCTTTCTTAATCAATATTTCTAGGGTTTTTTAAGTCCTTATGCATACTTTAAAAATGGAAGGGACTTGCTGTTCCCCTGCTTTTCACTGCTGGGGTCACCCCCCACCCACGTGAAATAAGCACCCATGTGGATGGTTTTCCTTTGTGTGAGTTTGCTCTAGTCTGAAGAACAGTACAATAAAAGAGGCAGCTGCATTTTTTCAAGGTACACACACACAGATGTGAATGGATATCTGGCTATTAAGTCTTGATCCTTGGGACCCACTGTCACGGCTGTGCAGAAGCCCTCCTTCCCTGGCACGACACAGGAATTTTCAGGGCCATTGGATTGCTGTGGTGCATTGTCAGGAGAAAAAGGGGTAGTCCCAGTAAAAATAATCCAACAAATGGAACAAACTGTGTGTGCAAACTAGAACTAAGGTTTTTTGGTATTAGATTTCTAAATCAGCAGTGGTGAAGTATCGTCATCAGAACCAAATTTGGCATTGACAGGTTTGGAGCGGCATGAACGACATGTGCACAGCCGCCAGATTGGCTGCACCACTTTACAAATTATTTTGCCATATCAGAATTTTCCTAAACCAATGAGTGTTTGAGGAACAGTTACGCCTTTTGATACAGGCCAAGTGACCTAACAGCTATTTTCTGTTTCTGGTTTCTGTACACTTTTGGTTTAGTGAACTGTAGTAACTGCCAGCATCTGCTTCTATCTGCTTTGGGTTTGCATATCAACTACTCTGCTCCGTGTTTGTGCCTATTAATTCCAAATATCAATCTCTGTACTAAAAAAATCATTGCCAAGTAACTTTCCATTCTTCTTTCCTATACTGCCCATCTAATCACCAGCTATGAGCTCCTGCCTGCATGCTGTCAGAATGAGTCTGAGCTGCTCAAACCTCAACTCCAGCCTGAACATGAATTTTTGTCTCTGCAGGAATATCGGGGGTGGTGGGGGAAAAGTCAGCAGGCCTACTACCAATTCTCCTTATTGTTTGTATTTATACTTTTGTTTCGACTTCTTTTCTCCCTGGAAGTTTTAATTCCACCAGTTTTGTTTGGGTTTGACTGGGCTTGCTTTTTTTTTAAATTGCTCTCCCTCTTCTCATTTTGTTTTCTCCATTCTTTCATTGGAGGCAATGAGCCGTCCAGCGGTCGGAACTCCCCTGTCCCCTATCGGCCTGACAGTCGCCCTCTCACTCCAACTTACGCTCAGGCCCCTAAACATTTCCATGTTCCAGGTAGGAGCTGGCACTGTGTGTGTCTCGCTGTCCTGTCACAGTGTAGAATGTAGCCTTTGTAAATTCTGTCTTGTCTCCATCGTTTCACGCCGTTTACCATGGGTTACACCCTCAGGATTTGGAACTGCTTCTTAAGGCTTAAGTACCTTAAGAAACATAGAGGTTTATTGTGATTTTTACCTATTCTCTGGGTCAGGTGTTTCACTCTCAGAATGCTTAATTTTTCAGGGTAGGTTGATGACCTCTGAGCTGTATATAAACCATGTAGGGCTTGATTTTTCTCCCAGTTGCACCAGCTGAGTGCCAGCATAGCTCTGCTAATTTTGGAGGCGTTGGTTTTGATTCACATGCAGAGAAGAGGTGGCCAGTGAGCCATTACATACATTGTTCATTCAGATTGTTGTGGCTTGTTTCAGTCTTGAACACAACAATTCTAGTTTAGTGTCCCTTTCTTTTTAAAGCAGGTGAGGTTGTTTCTTGTTCTGTGCAATGGCTTGGTGTTCTCAGAGAGACCTGCTGATCCACAAGGATATGTGTGCCTTAGGATGTCCTTTCTATAGAGAGCAGTCCCTGTTTTGAAGTGAGCTCCACAGTTGTTCCAGCATCTGAGAAGACCATGTGTCCTGGATTTTGATGGGATGAGCTGTGTGTCCCTAGGGTTTGGACATGGATCTGGCTGCTTCAGGACTAGCTGAAAGCCTTGTTCTGTCCAGTTATTTTCAGATTCCCTTCAGCCTGGTGTTCCTCCTCACTGCCAGAGGTTACTTCCCTCCCTCCTCTCCTCAGATCTGGCAGATAAACAGTTTGTGCACACCCCCTTTCAGTCAGGGTGATCTGGCTTGGCTGAGGTCGGCTCTTTTAACCGCTTAGGTTCACCTGGCTCTCGGTGCCTCACCTAAACTCAAGCCTAACTGCATGAATAGCTGTGAGGAATGACCTGGAGCATGGTGTGGGAGCTCTCCTTGCTGGCTGGGGCCATGCAGCCATGGAGGGAGCTGTGCTGCCATCCTCCCTGGAGCTTTCTGGTGTCCTTGTGCACCAAAGGACTGCATGACTGCCCTTGTAATGTTCATACCTGTTTGCTGGTCAAGTGGCCATAACAGATCCCACACAGCAATGAAATGCCACAGCCTTTGTGTGCAATGAGTTTGCCTGTTTGTTTAAGGATGTAGGGTTCTGCAGAGTAAGATTTGCCTCTGTTTCAATAGATTTTTAAGTTTAACTTTCCTTACCACCAAAGGCAAAGTTGTCTCCTATAACACTTTAACTGGATCTGTGATACAGCACGTGTTTCTGAAATTCCTTTTCATCTTTCACTCTAATGTAACTGAAAACTTTTTTCAGGCAGCATAAAGTAGCAAAATGAGTTTCTGACATTAATTTTCTAGCTCCCTGTAGCTCAATTTGCTCTTCTAATAAGATTTTGGCACATTTTTCCAGTATAGTGCTGATTTTGGATTAGCTTTTGTATTTGTAGCTGTGCTGAATGCACAAAATGTTGGCTCGGGTGGGAAGGTAGTTTAGAACAAAATGGTTCCTGTCTTAGATTATTATTTGGAAAAATATGGTATCATTTAGACATGCTGTAGATTTTACTGCATTAGAGTTCTGGGAAGTGTTTTTATTCTGATTTACATAGGTAATATACAATATGGTGGGCCTTGTGTAAAAAAATTACAGAAAAAAGAAAGAAAATCTGTTCTTATGGTATGAGAATTAGTAGCATATCAGTGAACACTGCATAAAGAATCCCTTTGACTCACTGAAGTGTGGCTGTTGTTGCCTGCTCAAAGCTGTGTCCTAGGGTGGCTATTTTGTTCTGTGGATTTTGAAGTGAATTGTAGGCTCACTGCATTCTCCTATGTTCAATCCAGCCAGTCAGTTGGAAAGAAAATAGAGCTGTTCTGACTGAAGCACAATTTCCCACAAAAGTTATTTGGGGTAGTTTCCCCCAAATGGCTTGTATCTTCACCATTGGAATGTCTTGCCTGCTTACATTTCTTCTCTTTTATCCCACTTTAAAATTAATGGTTCATGAGTTGATGCATCCACATGTTACAGAATCAGCTCCAAAGGACTTCATACCACATGTCTTTGACTTTTCACTTGTTCTTATGTTTTCTTTAAATAATCTGATTTTGTATAATACCTAGAAAGAGCTTTCTGGCTTTTTCTTGTGCTACATCCTTGATTTGGTATATCTATTGCTTTAGTGGTTGAGGTATCTTTATGTACAATTGAAGTAGCTTTCAAATTCCCTTTTTTCTGTTTCTTAATATCACAGATCAAGGTGTCAACATTTACAGGAAACCGCCCATCTACAAACAACACGGTAAATGACCTTTCCCTTTTTATTTCAAAGTTGGAGTGTCAACTGAATTAAAAACTGTGCAGTTAGTGAAAAGCATTCAGTTTTTACTTTGCAAGCATAAAAATTTAGTAGTCTATGCTTGAAGCGGCTGTAATTGCATGTCCTGGAAAGTGATTATGTTTTAAAGCCTGTTGTTTCATTTGGATTATATGGTTTAATCTTGCCATGTGGATATTAATGGCAAAATTGCTGAGATTTTGCTGTTTGCATTATGATACCATCCAGCATTTCTCTTCTTTAAGCTTTTATTTTAAGAGTACAGGTACTGGTCATGTTAAAATGGATTAACAACAGACTGATCTCTGCCAGGGACTTCACGAAATATCCTTATTTTAAACAGATACAGTACAATAATTTATTTCAGCAGCAAAGATGAACATGTTATAATCAGACTGGAATTACGAATGTACCTGTAATGTGGCTTTAAATAAGAAGATATTATAGGTGACTTATCACTGACAAGGCTAATTTGACTCTCAGCCCTGTGATGCAGCTCAGGTAGTTCGCTGTACTTGTTTTTCCAGGTGTTTGGGTTCTGAGTTGGACAGCAGTGTTAGTGCTCTAAGCTTTTTGGTGTTGGTGTTGTCATAGTAAGTCTGAAATTTCAGTGATGGCAGAAGCCCACAGCCTTGCCTGTCTTTAGTCCTACAGGGGAAGGCTGCATTTTAAAGGAGTGTGTTCACTCTTATAAGGAACATTATAAAGCAATCATCATAAAGGAGTGTGTTCACTCTTCCCCTCCTGTTGTAAATAGAAAGCTGTGCATAAGAGATGGCTTTTATTTACCTCAGTGAAAGACAGATTACTCCAATATTTGTAGACTCTGAATTTTCATCCTTTTGCAGATGTTTTATCCAGTGATATGTATTTAAGGTTAAGTAGCACATCAGCAGCACTGCAGGGCTTAGATGAGCAGTTGGCTGAGAGCCATTGAGCTGGGGTGAGCAGGGGAGCCCACAAGTCCATGTAGTCAGGAGTGAGCACTGCAGATTGCACTGCTCTGGTATCACATCAGGGTCTTCCCCTTTTTCTTTTTTAAGTTTCAAATCATATGATTATTTTGGAAAAAAAAAGTCTTAACACTGTTTCTGTTTATTTTTATGGTTTTAATGTATCTCCTCACCTCCCATTAACATGTGAATGTTTAACCACTGACATCACCAATTCTAATACGTAAGTACTGTTTGAGGTCATGCTTCTGTAAACTCTGACCAGCTTCCTCCATGCCTGCAGTTATGCTTAAGAGTTTCCCAATCATCAGCTGCTCGGAATTCCCAATGATATCTAACACTGACATTGCTTAACTACCAGGAACGTGTTGGATGAGCAGCACAGTGCATCACTTTGTTAAAAGATGTCTTTCTGTTTAAAAAAGAAAAAAGAGAAAAGGAAAGAAAATTCTGAAACCATTGCCACTGATACAATAGCCTCATATAAGCAAAGGTGATTTAAGCTAACGTTTTCCAGCTCAGACCTAGTTAAGGTTGGGTTTAATTTACACTGAATCCTGTTAGATTATTTTAATTTTTTAATGTCAAGAAGAGAATGCCATAATGCACATTCTCACATGCTTTGGCATGTGAGGCTTTTTTAAGGCTTTGTCTTAAAATGGAATTTAAGTGGAAGCCCCACTATCAAGCTCTTTTTTTGGCGAGGGTCAATGCTTTGTAAGTGCCTTGCCCTGCCAAGTTGATCTTAATGGAGTTTAGTATTTATTAATAAGTTCAAATCTGCTTTTACTACTACTGCATGCTCTAAGCAAGGGCATGCAACACAAAAAAAATCCCCTAGTTAAACATATTTGTTTCAGGTTTCTTTTCTTCTTTGTTCTGCAGCTTTTCACAGATGAAGTAATTAGCGTCAGTAGTGTTAGGATTTATACTGTTACTCTAATCTATTAGTTTGCTTCCCATAGAGGGAAAACTTATTAGTACATAAATCTGAGTTCATCTTCATAAATAATCAGCTGTCCTTAGGAGATATTGGCAAATACTGTTAGGCAGCATTTTCTCACTCTTGCATAATCATTCTTACACCGTGAAACCCAAGTAAAATCTAAAGCTGATTTGAGGTTATCTTTGGGGTGGGGATGCGGGAGGAGAGGAAGCTTTGATTCCAATCTGTTGGCAAGAAAAAGGCATTGCTTTGCTTCAAGCTGCAGTTGGAAAAGCAAAACATGAAAATGTTTGCTTTTGAAAACTAACTTTGTTGTGAAGTATAAAATTTTGCCAAAATAAAGCTGACCTTTGCTGCAGATCATGACATAGCTAAGTTCCCTGATTGCCATCTAGATGCAGCTGCCTTGGCAGCACAGAGCAAGTCCTCCGAGGATATCATCAAGTCCTCCAAGTTCCCAGCAGCTCATGCACCAGCACCCAACGAGATACCAAAGATTGAGACTGAGCACTGGCCAGGCCCTCCCTCCCTGGCTGCCGTAGGTATGCAAACACAAACCGTTCATCTCTGCGGCTCCAAAGGTACTGGTGAGCAGGGGACACGGACAGTGCAGCTGCCAAAACGTGCAGGAAACAGGTGTCCACTCCAGATGCTCACCACAAAGTGTAGTTCTGGTGAGACTATTCAGTGGCTAAAATTTTTGAATTGCACTGAGTAGAAGAGGTTTTGCTAAAGGACTTTATCACACAGATATTAAGCTAATTTTTTGAACTCTAGTGCAATAGTTTAAAAGGTGTGGTGTGTCACACAATCCTGACTTCTTTCAGCTATGCTATTTAATCTTTTAGTCCAAAGCTAATAGCAAAAATTCCACAGAAAACATGATTGTTTCCAACCACATGACTAATTTCATGGCAAGAAGCAACAACTGAATTGGAACAATTAACAGACTAAATAATTTCTGATTTTCAGAGTTACTGTTTCTACAGACTTTGTATTTTTCTTTTGTGTTATTGCACTACATAATTTCTCTTCTTTAATCCATATGCATCATCAATTTAATTTTTTTCTTTGTATTTTTTCCCCCTGTTGTGTTTTTATTGACCCCTGTAGCATAAAATAAGCAATCTAGCCTGGTTCATTCCTGAAGTCATGTCTGAAGCACTGAGGTGGTGTTTGTTTCAGGTCTCTGTGAGGGAATGTATGGCTTTCATAACAGTGGGATCTTCACAGAAGTTCTGGGAGAGGAGACACAGGGTGGGAGAGCTCAGAGACCAACTGAAGGGGCTGCACATGCAGCAGCAGCAGCTTTTTGAAAATGTCCTTTAGTTGGGATTGCAACCTGACAAACATGTAGAGTCCCTGAGTCACAGGAATAACATCAATGTACTTGAAGCTCTGTCATCTACATACTTGAAATGTCTACATTAAACACTGAGTTTGTCAGCACAGTTGGTAAATAACTACATCAGATAAAGCCCTAGCCCTGTGCAGGAAAAAATAGAACTGCTGTCTAAATGCTTGCAGCAATAGCACATCCTGTGTGTTCATGGAATTGTCCTGGCATCTGTACTGGATTATTTCTTGAGAATATTCAAGAAAACAAAAAATTACTCAATAAAAACTAAAGAACTAAAATGTAGAACACCTGTGCCTTAATTTATTTTAGCTTTATCCAATGGATCAAATTAGATTACTTCATTTTAGACTAAAACAAGTGCCTTATTTATTTCAAATATGAGCATTCATTTAGGAGACTAATGTAGTTTAATTTTTCATTTGAAATGTTAATTCAGATATGCTTCTCTGAGTCTAGATAAAAGAGTAAATGTAAATAGGATTTTAGGTTTTCAGTTGTGTTGCAAGGTTTTCTGCTGGTGTTATTAAACCCTACGTTTCCAGAACCAGCAGTGTGAGCTCCTTTCTGAATTAGGGTCAATCGTGACTTTTGTATCCAGGACCATTGCTTGGTTTGGAACTTGTGTGTAATCTAAGTTCTTGTTTAGTTTATAACAAGCTTGATAACTATAGGGCAGGCTACCCAAGTGAGTTTTATTAAGAAGGAATTTTGAAAAAGTCTTTTGACTTTGTGAGGAATACTGCTTTGTTTATTCAGCAAATCAAACTGACCAGTTTTGTGAACTAGCATTGAAATCTTGGAGCTGCAGTTGAAGTGATGCACAAAGCTCTCTCTGTGCTGTGGTTTTGTGGAAGCAGGAGCTGACATGAGGCGCAGATCAAGCGGAAGGGAGGAGGACGATGAGGAGCTGCAGAGACGCCGGCAGTTGCAGGAGGAGCAGCTCATGAAGGTGGTTATAAGCTTGTCCTCATGCTGTTTCTGAGCACCATCCAAAAAGTGCTCCTTTGCTTTCTGTAAGCAATTCCTACCACTGTCTTGGTCAGCTTTATTCTATTGAGATGTCTTTTTTAATTGCCATTTGTAGCTCAACTCTGGTCTGGGACAGTTGATATTGAAGGAAGAGATGGAGAAGGAGAGTCGCGGTAGGTCAGCCCTTTCTGCCAGTCGTTACAATTCTCCAGGTAATTCATGGAGGCAATAAAGCAAATCATGACAATGGGTACTAAACACAGAATACACATAGCAAGTAGAATACACATCTCAAGTAGTGTCCGAGAAGAGAGACAGCTGGGAAAGCTGCTTGATATGTGTTTATGTGGTGATCTGCCCTGAAAGAGTGGCCTGATTCATCACCTGGTTTTGGTGAGGGGAGGAATGTCATGGGGTTTTTTTCAACTAGAAGAAATATGAGGCTGAGGATTTTCAGGCAGTTCTGAGGAGAGAGCTGCTTTAAGATAGATGAGGAGTGGGGTGAAGTGTTCGGTGACTATGGCATCACACACAACGCTAATAGGCTGGGTTATTAAATTACTGCAACACATTTTGTTTACATTGGTGGTTCCTATCCCTGCTTAGTCTCTTCTCCCAGGGAAAGATATTCAGCATTATTGACCAGTGGGGTGCATATTCCAAACAAGGCCAGTGTTTTGTCCTGGGCTTACATTTAAACTGGGTGTATTTTGTTCCAAAGTAAAAGCACAAAAGCTAACTTAGGTTAGTGACTTAGATTCTTTGCCTCATTGCACATTTTGATGTATGGCTGTGGCCTTCTCACATCTCCAGAGAAGGGTTTGAGGGTTTTATTTTACTCATTCACCAGCCATTGTAACCTGAAAGCAGTACTTTGAGCCAAGAAGAGACAAGATGAGTCTCTCTGGAGTCATCCACTGGAGCAGTTGCCAAGCAAACTAAGATTTCCTTGTGTTCCCTGTTTTATAAGTGTATTGCCTCGATGGCCTTGGAGAGGATTCCTGTGGCTCTCACTCACTGTCTTTAATTTTTATGGGGCCAGAGTCTACCTGCTCAACTCAGAGCTTATGGTTTTTTAAATAACCTTAGCACAGGTTAAAGAACTTCTTTATTTGAAATCCATCCCTCTTCGCAGGGATAATCAGCGCCGTCATCAATTCCCTTTTGGAATCAGGGGTGATGACAAAGCAGATGCTATGAATGATCCATGAGTACTATTTTCAATCCAGGGGAGACCACCTTGATTTTGAACCTGGAAAAATCAGTGTCCCTTATTAATGGCCTGCCACCATGACATGATAAAGCTGTTCATAACTTACAGAATGTGTGGAAGTTTGTGTTGAGTTTGGGACTGAGTTTCTTAAAGTCAATGTGTCTCAGTTGTGTGGATGTTTTTCTCTTTTAACTAGTATTTTGTACTAGGTGATTCCTCAAGTGCTGTAGTTATTTCATTTCCATGGGATTTTTCCAGTAAAATATTTTCCCTTCCTCATTCAACAGCACATGCTTCAGCCTCCAAAACCTCTTCTCTCCCTGGGTATGGAAAAAATGGACTTCACAGGGTAAGAAGATGGTGATTTTGAGAAGTGAAAGGTGGCTTTAATTATCCGTGGTATTTATTTCCATATCAGTTATATTGGATTTTCAGGTTGATAAGTGCTTCTTATAAAACCACCTGAAGTCAGACCAATCCTATTTTCCCCTCTCACAAACTACTTTGGTAAAAAATCAAGAAAGCAAAGGAAGAAATGTTGTAAAATTGAGGGAGAAATAAAAAAAATTAAAGCAATTTATTTCTCCTCATATACCAACCTGCTTGTAAAGTCTTGAAGTGTGAATTTATGTTCTGTTCCTCTTTTCCTGTTACAGCCGGTCTCCACGGATTTTGGTCAGTACAACAGTTATGGGGATGTGAGTGGTGCTGTTAGAGGTGAGGATGAGGAGCCTTTACAGTCTATTAGTAATAAATGTAAAAGTCTTATGATGTTTGATCATTTCTGCTGTTCTATATTAAGGCTGTGGATGTGATTACTTTGTATTTGCTCAGTATTTTTTAATTTTCTCTGGCAAACTCAATTAACTCAAAGCACTTCAAATACCTGTTAAAATGTTTGGGTTTTTTTGTTAAATTTGTTATGTGGAACTGATCCTTGTCCATACTTTTGCATTGGGTCAAATGGAAAGCAAATAACGTGTGCATTATCAGGAATATGAACTGAGTTCTGTGGGTTTTGTGTTTTCTTTCTCTGAAAATTACCATCCACTATGCAGTCTGAATCAATGTGCCACAGTGAAGAAAGGGAGATAATGCCCTCTAATAATTGCTGCTCATGATCTTCATTATGACTTTGAGCTGGATGTGGTACCAGTTAGTGCCAAATACAAATTGACAATAATATTTATTAAAGTTAACAAAAATTGGAGAGTTAATGAAAAGAACTGCAATACATGAAGTGTTTGACTCTACAAACTAAATCCAAAATTAGAAATGTTGCTGGCTTTAGAGAATCAGATGGGATTTTGGAAAAATCAGGTAGACCAGAAAACAGAGAAGGATTCTCTGGTAGATTGTGACTGATTCCTGTCCTTCCACACTCTAAAACTGATGAGGTTTCTCTTTTGCTTTTCAGATTTCCAGGTAGAGTACGGGTTTTCATCAATCAACTGACAGCAGAACCTAAAGCAGCTTCTTGTTCAACTCTGAATTTCTGCTACAGGGAAGGGTTTCTTAAGACAATAGCTTTGATTTTCCTGCATGTTTAAGCATAATCACCAATGTAGATCCTTACAACAAAAAACAGGCACAGCCTCGGATTCCTCCTTGTTACCTCCCCAGAGCTGAGTTGAGACAGCTCACACCTGTTCTGTGACTTGCTCTGTAAAATCCACTGTCTGTTCCTGAATGAGTTATCTGTAACAGCCTTCTCTGGACACCCGAGGGTGGATTTATTTCCAGCCTCTCTAGTACTGACCTCAGAGACACATAGTCTCTTCTGGAGGAAATTTTCTCTCATACCAGGAGCTTTGAATTCCTCAATTTTACCCTGGAATTTGCTCTCCAGACAAGATGGCTGATCAGTACTTTCCAACAGTGCTGCCATCCCAGATGAGCCAGAAAGAAGTGTGCTTGCAAATAGAAACCTTTTTACTTCAATTACTGCCTGCAGGTTTTTTTTTTTTTTCAGTTTGAATCTGCCTGGCTCCTCAGCACAATCACAATATGAAATGGCAATTTAAGAAATTGTTTAATTACTTGGATAATTTTGTCAAGGGTATATTAAAATCATAATGGTTGGAAAGAGAATGAGATTATGGGAGGGGAACAGAGCTGTCCATGTATTGTGCTCCAAATGTTATTTCCTTAGATATAGTACCTGTGTCAAAACAGCACATTTTTACCCTATGCCTGTTTGTGTTCAAAGTAAAAATTACCCACTGTAGAGACAAAAAAAAAAAAAAAAAAAATCCCTCAGCTGATACAGTAAATTTCAAGAGGGAAAGCTCAGAGTTGCAAGAGTGCTTTTTGTGCTGTTGGGTGGGATCTGAATTAATGCTAGGGAAGAACTAGGGAAGAACTTCACCTTGTCACTGGGGTGGGAGAGGGACCACCACTCTCTTGGGGTGCCCCTGGAAAGTGGTGCTGGTCAGCTCAGGGTGGGGCTGTCACCAGCCTGAGCAGGGACAGGAGCTGTGGTGGCTGCGGGGACTGAAGGATCCCTCTGCCTGCCTCAGAGGAGTAGTGCACAGTAGCCATGGCAATGATTGAAATAGTAAGACCAAGAATTAAGACTTGAAGGAAGTCTCAGGGCAAATTCACCTTTGTCTTCACCACTGCTTGAGTGCCTTTACCCTCTGTGTGTGTAACCTTTGTGTCTGATGTGTACCTGTATCCGATGCAGTCCCTCCCGGATGGTCATGTCCCTGGAATGAGAATGGACAGAGGAGTATCTATGCCTAACATGTTGGAGCCAAAGGCAAGTGCAGATGTTATTCACTTTTCCTTCAAGACATTGAAGGTTTTACTGTGAAATGTGGATAAAATATGGGAAATGTCTCAGTTCCCTTGTTTTCTTTCACCTCACCTCAGTCCCTGCTCCTGATGTGCCAAACCTCTTCCTTTGTTCTGGACTGTGCTCTGCAGGTGTTAGTGCTCAGGCAGGCTGAGGGCAGCCCAGCTGTGATCCCTGGGCTGAGGAAGCTTTTCCAGGGACAAAGTGACAGATGTGGAATGTGCTCCATAGCTGGTTCTCTGCCAGGCTTTCACCAGCCTGGGAAAGTCTCAGATCTGTCCAGTTTGAAAAGTGCTGCAGAATATTGTGACTCACCACACACTGTTGAGGCTGTCTTAATTCCAAAGATTATGAGAAATCTTTGACTGGAAGCAATGTGTCTGTCTGGGTCTGTTCCTCAGCTCTCAGCACTGTTAACCTGAGACCTGCCCATAGTGTTGAATTCCCTATATGAGAAACTCTTCAGGAGATTTATTGGAAAAAGAGACAAACTCAGCTAATTATAATTTAAGATACAAATTAAAATGCTTTTACAGCTATGTCTAAAGATTCCTGAGTCAAAAATGAATATAATATATGGAGAAAATTCAACCAGGGCTGTGTTTTAAATCTTGCAACTTTATTGCTGGTGAACCTTCCATGAAATCATGATTTTGCCAAAGTTACAAGGATCAGAATCTCTGCAGTTAAGTGAGGAGCTCACTTTGCAAACCAGATAACTTCTTGTGCTTCCGAGTCACCTCCAGGCAAACTGTACAAGGCAATAACCCTAGCTTTACAAGCTGAGACCCCAGTGCACTGTGCAGTTACAAGTGGGTTTATATATTATATAAATAAGACTGTGGGGACTCCTAAGATGCTACTTTTTATTCCAAATAATTTGTCTTTCAGTGCAATAGAAATTCTTACAATCACTACTGCTGTTGATGTACCCAGTGATTTGGGATGCTATTTGGGTGACAAATTCTGTCAGTATTATTAATGACAAATTTAATGATTCTTTATTAATGGCTATTTTAATGATAAAATTTAGGAAATTTCCTGAGATGATAGATCACTTTCTGTTGCTGTTTATAAAAGTGGTGCCAGACCCTCAGGATGTGTGAATTGGCACTGTTATTATTCATGTCTGTTGTCCAACACTAACTTACACCTGCTAAAATAAAATAAGCCAATTCAGAGTCAGCATGAAACATATGAAAAGTAAATATTAACAATTATAATAATGACCAGATATTACCAAATGTTTCTCCAGAAAGGACAGAATTTGTGCATCTTGCTAGCCCAGATTTAGACATGCCTTTTTGTGAATATTTAAATATAAAATGTACTTACGACTGTAGATCTTGACTTAAACTCTGCCTGTTTAAATATGAAAAATTACATTTTAGTTTCCTATATGCTGTTTATAGTAGCCATATCCAGTACCAAACATAAAAAATGTAATTCCAGGTATAGACTTAACTGTACAATTGTGACAATGTCAGAATCTCATGAGAATCATATCTCACAATTGGTATGTAAGCACACGTTATTTAAATTATTATTACTTACAATAAAATCAGTGGTGTGTTCATTGATGCCTGAATGTTATTTGTTATGTTTTCGAAAAGTTCATTGGGATAATTGTTAACAATGGAATGAACTTAATTGCTGAGTACTGCACAAAAGTTGATTAAGTCAAACTTCTTCAGATGTTGAAATAACATAATTAATAGCATTTAATAATAGCTCAGCTCTCTCCAGGATATTTTTGGTGGTCTCACTCATGTTCCCAGTGGGCACCTAAGACAAGACCCATAAATGACAGTACAGGCTGAGCCAGTTGCCACTGAAGTTTCCAGAAAAACTTCATTGACTTGAGTAGGGTCGGATGAGGGGTCTGGGGATGCTGCTTTCCTACAGACACGTGCAGTGGGAAGGGCTCTAGAGATGCTCTGGCAGACAGAACATGAGCTCTCCTAAGTCATTCCGGGCATGGAAGTATCTATCAGAGGAAAAAAAAAAAAATAAAAAGTAGAACACAGTTTTATTTGCCAGGGATGATTCCAGAAACTGATTCTAGTATTTTCTGAGATCCTTTCCAAGCAGCACTGCTTCTGTTAGTTGTTTGAATTCTTTGACTACCCAAAAAAGCAAGGAAAACCATGTGATAAATTCTACTGAATGCACTAATTAATATTTTGCTTATTCAGATATGCTGCTGTTTTTATGTAATTCCATGATTTTAAAGCCACTCACTGTCAGTCCTTAGGGCTGTGCACACTCTGGCAACCATTAGTTAGACCAATGAATGACAAATGCAATTACGTCAATAAATTTACACATTGATGGATGAGGAAATACATTGTCTAGAAAGGACTCTGCCTGACTAAAGCCAGCTGATGTGTTATGTATAGCATAAAAATTGTGGTTTTACAGTGGGAGGTAGTTCAGTGCTAAACAAGTTCTGGATCTGTTCAGATCATCTTGTTTTCCGTACAACTTTAAGAAAAGAAGGATAAGAAAAAAAATAACACAAAACTGATATTTGCTTTGAAAAAGAAAACAAAAATTTGTGTGTTTATGAAAATAACACACATTTTGTTCTGTCTGCTTTAGACTATAAATATAAATATCTCTTTTTCCCCCTTTTTATACGTTGTTAACAGATTTTTCCATATGAAATACTCATGGTGACCAACAGAGGGCGAAATAAAATACTAAAAGATGTAGACAGAACCAGGCTGGAGGTAAGAGAAGCAAGTTCCTAAATGCTCTTTCCTGCTAAAGTTGTTTGTTGTTTGTGAAAGCTGAAACACTGAAATGTGAGTCCCGAGAAATGTGGGAAGATCTCTCAGCACTAATCGGGGAAAGAGGAATCAGACATTGGGAGGCAGCAGCTGCATCTCCTCAAACAATCTCCCACATCTCTGTCTCCCTGCTCATAGACTGAGCTTCTCACAATCCCCTTCTGTTTTCAGGCCTTTCATTATATACTTGTAGATTTGCTAAAAGCCCAAAATTGCACAAGCTTCATGAGATCCAGACTGGAATGGAGCAATGCTTTGTTCTTGGACCATCTCTTAGCTAAGAGTCGGTGTCAGCCATCCTTGAGGACCAAAAGTCTTAAATTTCTTTAACTCATCTGTGACTTAGTTACAAGACTGGCTGATATCCAAAAATATGAGGATCTAAATCTCTGCCAACAAACAAATATAGTTTACAACTTTGTGGATTAGGAAGACTTAAGCAGCCCAGTGGAATGCTGGAGGAACTTAAGTAATTTGTAGTCAGTTTATCTTCTGTGGAGATGAATGGAAGGAGCCACAAAAATGTGGTCAGTTTGGGCAACAATTTGGGTTTATGCCCATGTTTATTATTAGATATGTGGTCACTAATCAGAATTCAGTGCTGTGTTAGATTAGTGCCACGGGGAGACACTTTCCCCATCCAGTGCACTGTAAAGTGGCTGAATGAGAAGTAACTTTTGCACAGGACAGCACCAAAAAGTGATTCATTAGCAGCAGAGAGGTGTGCTGAACAGTTAGCCAGGCCAGACATCTTCCTTCTCAGAACTTGGAGCACGTCAAGCTGCAGGCCCTCTGCAGAGCACTCCTAAAATCCCAGGCTCTTGTTTGGATTTCCAAAAGCAGAGGTGACTTGCTAAAGCCTGGGACAGGGGTGTGCAGGAGCTGGTCCTGTTCTCTGGTCTGTCACTGCTTTTTGGATGGCTTCAGACCAATCATTTCTCTGTCTCTTGCTTATTCAGCAAGTGAAATATTCCCTGAGTGGTTCCTTGGGCACACAAGTCCATGAGGACTTGGATATGCGTATTGCCAAAGCATTATTTTTTCTAGCAATGGCTCTTACACAGCGACATAAAATCTCTAAGGCACTCCAACCTCCTGTTGTGTCTCTTTGGTTTTGACTGACCATTGCCTTTTCTCCTTTTTTTCCCCTCCTGTTTTTTATTTTTTTAAAGCGTCACTTAGCACCTGAAGTTTTCCAAGAAATCTTTGGCATGACGATACAGGAGTTTGACAAGTTACCTCTCTGGAGACGCAACGACATGAAGAAAAAAGCAAAACTCTTTTAATCTCCCTTTAAACAAACCAACCACAAATGATGCATAGAATATTGTATCACACAGTCCAAACTGTTTGGAAGCAACTACTTATCCACCAAAAAGGGAAAATCAACATAGTGGCACCTCTGCAGTTGAACAAGATCAACAGTTGCCCTCCTGGAATGCAGGGAGAAACTATCTGGGCTCAGAAACAGCAATGATAGTTTTCAGAGGTGTCAATCTGTTACCTGATGCTTTACAAGATAGAAAACTGTTCTGTTCTTCTCCCTCAATGATATTCCCTTTACTTCTCTCCACAATACGATGGACTTTATTGCTAGAGCCAGGAAGTGCCCTTAGGATGCCTTGTAGACTAAAGTAGTTGTAACCACTCCAAGAACTGGAAGAGAATATATACATATATAAATATATATATATATGTATGCGTGTTTGCCTGTGTGCACACATGTATTTATATCTCTCCATCTATCTCTGTGTGTGTGTATGTGTGTATATATGGTGTATATATGGAGAGGGACATAGGTAGGTCTGTAGTGAAGGAGAAGCCCCTTGTAACTTATCCACATGATCACAGCAAGTCTTTCACCCAACAGTTTCTCACTTGGCACTCTTTTGACACAGTGTCTTCTTTGTGTAACACAGCCTGTGGTGGTGGGCACTCTGCTCAGCTGCAGGACACACCACTTGGATTTCTGGAAAATGGACTCCTTGTAAATATTTGCTAGGATATCAGAAGTGAATTGCTGTGTGTGTTGTCAGTCTTCCCTCTTCCACACTTTCTGCTTGAATTAATAAGGCTGGAGTTTAACCGGTCCTTGGAATAATTTAAGATCACTTAAGTAATGGGAATGATGGAGAAGAGTCAGTTTTCTTGTAATGTACTCCAGGAGGTGGGTGCATGGGGGTGGGAATGGCAGAGTGAAAAAGTGCTATTTTAAGTGTGCCCTGGTTTGCACCCAGAGATTTCAGGATGAACTCCCCGCTAGTAAATACTAGTACAGCTTATCAGGCTGCAGTGGAGTTGTAGGATTTCACAATGGCAGGGAGAATGGTTCTCTGCAAGCAAATTCATGCAAATTCATCCCTCTTCGGGAGGAAATGTTTATGAATTAAAAGGTACCATCAAGGTGCCAAGCTCTGCCAATAGAGGCTTTTTGATTAAACTGCAGTAGCTGTTGTCAGTATGGCACAGTGCATGGGGCCAAGCACTCATTTTAGTTAATGTAGGTTTTCACTTGTGCTTGGAAAAGAGGGCACAGATTTTTTTTTTTTCCTCTCTTGAAGCATCAAAGCTCCAGCCTTGGTTATTTTTATTTCCCTTTGTGCCTGACTTGGTTTTTGAAGACAGAGTAATCATGCAAAACAGTTTCTGAGCTGCATTGAACTCCTTATTGCTTTCAGTCTTCTTCCAATATGCTGCAGCTTGAAAAACTGCCTGTATATACCTTAACTGCTTCTGGGCAAGTCCTTTGCAGAGGAGGACATGAGCACCAAAGTAATGGAATGGATGCAGTGTGGCTGCTTTTTCTCTTCCTTGGTGCTTAACTGCCAATGCATAACTGCACTAATGAGCCTGGCTCCTGACAGGAGAGGGTCATTTAGGTTCTGTGTCTGTCAAAGAATATCAAGTTTCCTTTTTAATGCAGAAACTTCAGGCACTGGAGACATCAGAACCTTTCTATTTTCTGTTCTATGAGACATTGGTGTTAAAATCTGGAAGTCAGGCAGAGGAAACAGTCCCATGTAGTTCTGAGATTCAGTATCACTGTGTTGAGTTCTCTGTATCACCAAATGACATTTCACCATGAACTGTGCAGGACAGCCCAAACCCTGCCTCTTCTTTGCTGGTTTAGGAAGTCCTGTTGTGACAGATCACTGTGGTTCCTCTGATAAAATCTGAGATGAAGGTTCAGTAGGGGAGAGACAGAGACCAGGGCTCAGCACCTGCTCCATGTCCCTAAGGGAATGTGTGTCTGTGGGACAGGCTGGAGAACGTTGCCAGCAAGGGTCTGGCACCATCCCCACTGAACACAAGTCCCTGGGGACACTGTGACACACACACTTGAGTGAGCTCTCTGGGTGGCACTGAGGTTGCAGCAGGGATCAGGGGAACATATTTCACCTCATTTTTCAGAACATAGATCTGAAAGGTTTTTAGAGGAGCTCTGAGAAGTAAGTGGGAGTGTGTCAGGGGCTCAAAATGCATTTTTGAGTGACTGCTGAAAGCAAATCCATACAGTGAAAGAGCAGCAGTATTTTACACTCACAGACATTGTGAATGCTGGGGTCTCAGAAATTCAGTGTCTGGTCACCTGCAAAGTGTGGCTTAACTTTGAGACAAACATTTGAGTTTTAATGCATTTAAATTATTAAAATTCTCTACATTTTGTCATCCCACATCCTACAGACACTCAAACTCTTAGGCATTACAGGTCTGTTAGTTCAAGTCACCTTGACCATATCCCTTTTAGACCTGAGGAGTTGCTTTCTCAAGGATGTGAGCTGCCAGTCTGCATTTTTCTGTCTCCATCTCTAGGTTACTACTGAACTTCTCACAGCACATATGAACACACTACCCAGTCATTTCAGAAATGACTAAGCCAGGTTGTTTTCTTACCTCTCCCTCCTATGCAAAAAAAGAAAAAGAAAAAAAGAAAAAAAAAAAAAAAGGAGAAAAAAACCACCTCAGCCTCTTAGCCTGTGAAGAATGGCATGGTAATTTGGGTCTGCCTCATCAACTGAGAATTTAAAACTGCAGCTAAACTTGCGAAGGAATGAAGTGAAGCCAGCTTAGATGTTGCAGAAACAACTCATCTCTGACTGGATTTTTGGGCCACTGCTGGCTCCCATCTCACTGGTGTGGAGCAGTCAGCCAATTCACAACTCTCTGCACTAGACTTAATACTGCTTTATTCCTGACTGAGAACATGAAGGGTTTTCTGAGCTTCAGTTTCATGCCTACAGTTAATTCTCAACCACCTACATGTAGACACACCCAAGAGATCATCTGTCCACAAAACCCACACTGCAGCCAGCCATGAGGGAGGGAGGGTTTCTGCAGTGGGCTCTTAGTGATTGTCACTGCAATATTTTCTGTTCTTTCATCTGGTCTTCCCACCTAATATAAACAAAATGTAGCCCCAGGGAGAATTTTCTTTGTAAGCAATTAATCATTCTCCTGGTATCCATTGAGTAGCAGTTCTTAGTAATTCCCCTCTTTGATATTCCCTTGGGGCATGTCAGGAGTTGGACTAGATTATTTTTAAAGGTCCCTTCCAACCCAAATCATTCTATGATTCTATTAATATGCCTTAAGTACATGCTGGTGTTCTTCTATCTCCTGCAAAGCATTTGAGCTTCTGATAAAGTCCCAGCCCATCAATGCTGTCAATACAATGTCATTACCAAGGGGACTAAAAACTGATTGCTTTTGTCTTCTTTTTTCTCCTTCTCTGCTTTAGGAGTGATGCAAGAGCAAGGTCCAGTCAAAGCATTGCAGAATGAGCCCACGTGTACACATGGGGTTAAGTACACATGGGATTAGGTACAGATGCAGATCCTTGAGCACGGGTGCAGGTGTGGCACACACCCTCCCCATTTGGAGCCCATTAAATTATTAAATGTGGATTGTGGTGTGCTGTGGATGTACTGCAGTGTGCTGTGAAAGGTTAGGCTGGGAGAACTCAGTAGCTTTATGTGGGATAAGACATCTCTGTGGCTGCAGTAGTGCTTTACTTCTGTCAAGACAGGTGTCATCTCTCCTTACGGAGTCCTAAGTCTGTGGGCCAGGCTCTGAAGTGCTTGCTGCCCTTTCCCTGTTGCAGCTGGGCAGTCCTTTCTCAGCCATGGAGTTCAGATGTCCTGCTGTTCAAGAGAGTTCAGCAGCAGCCTCTTTGGGAAAAGTTACACACACTGAAGTTAGACACATTTTGAAGTGAATCCCTTCCCACAATCCCTGTGTCTCCTGGCAGGGTAATACCAATGACAGAGAAGGGTTAAGGTCTGGGAAGGAGCAGGGTTGGCATAAGCTTGATTTCCCCAGGGCTTGCCAGGGTGATGGTTGGCAGGATTAGAGGAAAACACTGGCATGAGCCTGTAGTACCTGTTTCAGACTGTGGGGAAGTGAAGTTTGGAGTTCACAGCATATGAGCACCCACACTGAAATTACTGGTATGAAGCTGTTAGAACAAGCAACAGGAAAAATAGGTTTCAGAATGGTAAAAATATCAACATCCTCTAAACTCTTAGGGGGATGATTTATCTTGGCTCCTCCTGACTTAGGAGGAGATGTTGGCATATTTGCACCACAGGCTTGTAGGGCTGACAAATGAAATCCACCCTTTCTCTCACTCCATGATTCATTGCTTTCCTCTGGAATGTGTTTGTGAAGGAGGATGTCCACATCCTGAATGTTACCTACAGCAGTGAGGAACACCAGTCAGTGATAATGACAATGCAATAAAACACTTGCAGGAAACAAGAATTAAACTAATCTGTCCAAAATGCCATTCATCTTTCTATGCCAGAGGGATGCTTAGGGCTTGTCTCCACTGCCCCCTTCCCCATTCAGTTCTCCCCAGGTCACAGTCTGGTTTGTGCCCTGTCAAACTTTGTGGCCCTGTCAGCACACCCACTAGAGTCCAGCATAGTCTTCAGGATAGATGCTTAGCAAAGGCTGCTCTTGACAATATGTGGTACATTTTTACCCCATTGCTGCAAAATGAAGAGCTGGAGAGAGCTCCTGAGCACTGTGACAGTAGCACAATGCACCTTTTTCCCTTAGTGTAGAACACTCCTATCACTGTGGGCTGCAGCATTGCTCTGGCTGGTGAGTTTTGCCTTGTGATTTCTCCCACACACCTTTTCTGTGCTTAATGAGATAAGAAAGAGCAACAAAAAAATCCATCACAATGCAAAGATACTGAGTTTTCAGTCAGACAACTCTGCTGGCAGGAGCTGTGTGATGCCCACATTTGGCAGAAGTGTTATTAATTTTAATGTAAGCATCAGTGCAGGAAGTGGGAATGTAATTGGCCATTAATGTTGTTTGCCTGTATGCAAAATAAATTATTTGTTGCCCAAAGGGCTTCTAACAGGAAAATAGATTTCTGCTAATGAGTTGCTCAAAAATGCTCATCTTTGTGAAGAGGCAATACTTCCATGTGCACTGTGGTCCTTCTTTTGAGGAAAAAAGAGATGACTGGAGGCAAACAGTGACCTGTTGTGTCAGGATCACCACAGTTAGTCCAAGTGTTGCTCCCAGGACTTGCAGAGCTGAGGCCCACAGGACCTTGCCCCGGGGCATTAGGAAATGCAGAGTTCCAGCAGCAGAAGCAGCTGTGGGAATCCCAGTGGTGCCTTACCAGGCTGAGTCTCTGGCTCCCTTAGGATGCTCTGACAGGTCCCACTGGACACTTGCCTGGGCTTTTGTCACTGAACACCTTCAGAATGCACTTCCCCCCAGATGCAAACCCACTGGCAGCACTGGAGCCTCTCGCTGGCACTGCACCCCTGGAGCCAGGGAAGCCTCTGGCTGCTGTGTGTGCCCAGCCAGAGCTCAGTGTCACTCCCAGGGCAGCCCTGTCCAAGCAGGGAGGCTTGGGCATTGTGGACAGCTCTTCCTGTAAGGGGGCCTTACAGCTGGGGACTTTTTTTAAGCTTTGGAAACTTAAACTAATTTTTAAAAGGTATACTTTCCTTTAAATCAGTAGATTTGGGCAATAGGATTTTTTTATTATTTTATTTTTCTTTTCTCCTCCCTCCACATGTTACAAACCAGCGTTTTGGGGAGGTGTCCCTGTGTTTTCCATTCATCTGTCTCTTTTTCTGAGTCTCTAAAAGTGAATCAATGTCTTGTCTGTACAGTATGTCTGCTTGTATGCATAATGAGAAGTTGAGCTGGGTTGCTGTTCTGTACAATTAGTGTTTCCACTGTCATACTGCAAACAGCACATATTGCACTCCTGTGCCACTGTAATCTGCATCACTGTTGTACTCAAGTCAATGAATAAAGTTTGGAGCTTTATTCTTAATTTCTGGATTCATGTTGCCTCATTTATTTTGGTTTTTCTTTTTCATTTTGCAGAGTTATAAGAAAGTTCTCTTACAAAAATAGGATGTGCTCTCAACTCTCAGAGAGGTGAGATAAATTATAAGAGCAAGACAGGTGAAAGTAACAGGTTTGAAAATTGTCACAAGGCTTCGTGTAGCTAAGCTACTAGGAATAGATAGATAGAAAATAGATTCATGTAAAGCACATGGAAGTGTTAGTTTTGTGGTGAGACTGAAAATGACCTGAGATGCCAGCAAAGTGAAACAGACCATGCTGTTGTGTCAGCTTCAAAGTCTAAATTGTTTCCTTTCTTGACGTTTGCAAATTCAGCTAAAATGTTATTCCCCATCTTGAAAATGTTTTCTATTTTAAGGTAGGTGTTGGCTTAATCATCTGTAGTTTAAACCTGCCTAGCCTTGTTGTGGGTGTGGAAGGTGGGGGATGATGCCACCCAAGGAAATGGGGTGTTTATCACACCCATAATGTGCTGAACACGTGGGCTCCAGCAGAGCATCGTGGCAGCAGAATGAAGCACACAGCACCTCCAAGGATGCAACCCAACACAAACCCTGCCCAGTCCCTGCGCCTCCAGAAAGCCCCTGCAACACCAGGATCTGTGCCCTGCAGATGTCAGGTTCTCCATCTTCTCTCACTCCTCAACCCTCTGAGACCCCCCACCCCTTGCCCTAACTTGTTGTTCTCACAGGTTCTCTCTGGTGACAAAGCTTCCCCAAGGTTTTACTTCAATGCGCTGTGTTGAGGGTGTTTAATGACTGAGTCTCAGATGAGATGAGGACTCAAGTTCCTGACTGGAGAGCAGCAGCTGGGGAATTCGTGTGAAGTTATCCTTTAGCAAGGTTCATACCTGCCCTGTTCACTTCCCAGGCCATGCCTGGATTTTGCTGTTGTGTGTGTGCTGGGACTTGCACAAGAGAAACTTCTCTCTGAACAAATCAAGCAGAACAGCCTGGTGGCAGTTAGAGGTGTCCTTTCTTTGGATTGCATCTCTGGGCATCTCCTGCCAACCTCCCTGGGCATCTTCACTCCTTCAGGACATAAGGAAGGTCTGTGCATGAAGAACCTGCTTAAAAAACCACAAGTGTAAGTCTCTGATTTGGCCTTGGAACTTCTCTTGAAAGTTTCCCAAACACAGAAAAAGCTTAAAACCCAAAATCTCCCTTTTGAGTTGCTCTGGCTCTTCAAAGTCACCAGCTGGCAATCAGCTCCCTCCCTGCAGCAGCAGCTCCAGTGCAGTGCCAGCCCTGAGACATGTTCGCCAGCCCTGGGACATCTCTGGAGATCCCAAGCAGCAATCCCCTGCTGGGGATCTGTGACCTGGCACTGTTGTGGAGCAGTTGCTCCATTACAACTTCCCCTAGACCAGAGCATTGGGAAAATTATGCCTGACTGCACTTCTCTGTCTAGAGCAACTTCACAAGGATCCATTCCAGTCATCAGCCCTACAGTGTGACAGTGCCAGCTCGCCTAAGCACATTTTTAATTTCTCTCCAGTTAAATACACAAGCCCACTGAAATCTAAGTCTAGGATTGCTTTTACTTTTTTTTTTTTTTAATTTTTAGCCCATTTCCCCCTGCTCCCCTCCTCCCCACAAGTAATGTGAAGTTTATGACCCCTGAGTAATGACTGTGGAATGCTCTGCATCCTACAGCCATCTCAAGGCATCTGGCAATGGGAATCTTTACAGCATGTAAAAAATACACAGATAATACCATTGTAAATAACTCAGATCAAAACAAGTCAAATGTCAATGCTAATTTGCTGTCAAGTATAGCCCAAGACCACTTCCTCCTGAAAAAAAGAGAGACCCAGTTCCCAAGTGTGTCTTGCTCCCCACCAAAAGAAGCTTATTCTCCACTGAAAATCTCTCCAAACTCTGAATTAACAAGAGTGGAATTTTTTTCCCTTTGCTGTTTTATTTTTTCTTTAGCTTTTGTGCCTGCGTGCTGCAGAGTCCAAGGCTGGGAAATGAAACTTCAGTTTTGCCTGACATTTTTCTATTGTAAGAAAAGGACTCTTGGGAGAGATATTTACTGTTTTCTATGGCTCAGTCAGAGGGCCAGAGAGGAAAGTTGTTCCAGGAGTCCCCATTACAAAGCATTTTTTCACATAGGCTCACTTTTCCTTTTTAAAGGCTGGGAGATGAAAGAGCCGGCAGCCCTGGCACAGGAAGTTTGCTGTACATCCAAAGGTCAGGTGGGTCTCAGGCAGCCACTGCTTCCAGCTCTTTTCTGTACACACTGCAGATTAAAATGGACATCCCGGGCTGGATGTAGCCATGGCAGTGATGGGGGCCCAAGGGTCTGGGGGGAAAGGAAGAGAGGGGAAGCAGGAAAACAGCAGAGCACAGCCTCTCCTCAGGCAGGGATTTCATAAGACAAAGCACTGGGTGGCTGTTCAGCCAGTTTAAGGTATTCCCACGCCCCCACAGCTTTTTCCTGCCATCAGATATGTCAGCATGACTGCTTGTGGGGTCACTCTCAGTGACATTCAGGAACTGATCCTTCTTAAAAAAAAAAACATTTTTTACTTTTTATTTCATTCCACAGTGTTGTTGGGTTTCTTTTATATTTTTAAACCGAGTCAGTTCCCTGCTTTGAGTGTATCTCCCAAGATAATTGTGCTGGGCATGAAAAATGGGGTGGGCACAAGTGAAGAGTGGTGTCTGAAGAAAAAGCAGAGCACAGTAAACTGCCAGTGATACTGCACTCTGTGTATCGTGAAATCTGTCTCAAGTCCATGGCAGAGAGGGCAGCTGGTGGCATTTCCTTTGTCCCTTCCATTCCAGCAGTACCACCACACCTTCTGTCACTGTCCATTTAGAAAGGTAGCATTGTCTTCAAGACCTTTGGGTGTCACACTGCTGAGTCAGGTGTTTGTGCAAAGCCATGAGTGTTTCAGCTGTTGCCCCAGTATGAATGAGAGAAGGAAAGGGGTGGACTAAATCCATCCTTCAACGTGCACCTTCTGGAGGAGCTGCTGTTCTGCTGGCAGAGGAAGCCAAGTGCAGACCCTGAATGGTCTGTGCTAGGTTGGTGCTCAGGGCAGGAGCTGGGACAGAGCCCTGCCAGGCACACTTGCTTTGTATTACAGTGTCTTTGCTAAAACTGTGGCAGGACACTTTGGACATAGGTCAGGAGAAGATGATCTCTCCAGAGCTGAGTTCCTCCCAGCCTTCAAAGTTGGCATAAGTAGGGGCTGGATGTAAATTCATTGTGCATCCCTGGGCAGCCAGTGAAGAAGCACCAAAAGGCAAGCCAGGTCTGGCAGGAGCAGACTGACAGATTCGGTGGCTGATTTTGCTGCTTGGGGTCTCCACACTTGGGACTCATCCATTTCCCATAATTTGGGCTATCCCAGCCCTACAGCTCCAGGCAGTGGAGGGAAGAGTTGATAGTAAAGCCAAACCTCTCTGCAGGAATAGCCCAATAATGCTGCCAGAGGGAAACAGGGCTCCCCCTTGACTGCCTCTCCTGGATTTAGGGTAGATACTGCAGAGGAGACAAAATGCAGCTGACTCCATTCAAGGAATTCATTCACACAGGCTCTGAGGCTTTATGTGAACCAAAGTGTTTGCTGTGAAACAGGAGACAAGGTAATAATTGAATCAGGGCTCACAATGAATGAGCTGCTGCTGAGAAATGCCTGCTTTACAGCCCTGGTATACTTGGGATGTTCAATGACTGTGGTATCTCAGTTAGCTCTTACCCTAATTACCATTTACAGAGGAGTTGCTAGATGAATGAGGACTGCAATATAAAGGACATTAGTAAGATTTATTGATGAGGCTACATGAATAATTCTCCTTGCAATGATGCATTTAAGACCACAGATATTGTGGGAGGAGGAAAGCCAGTGTTTGATATTTTGAATTATTTTAAAGTGTGTGTTTTATTCTTATTTTTCAGCTATTGCTGTTCCCTCTAACTGTTCCCTTTCAAAAAAAAAAAAAAAAAAAAAAAAAGAAAAAAAGAAATCCTCTTCCTGCCACCTAGGTTTGTGAAAAAATAGTAGGTAATTGAAAATAAGCTTCTTCTGAGGCCAGTAAATATTGGATCATATAAATTATTCTATCATAACTGGTCTGCCATGATGCTCAGGCAGCCCAGAGCATAACCCTTCAATGCTCTGATATTGCTCTGACCTCTTGGCACTCAAAGTTTGCATTTTCCGTAAATAACTGATTGTTCAAACTAACTAATTGTTCAGCTTCCTGAAAACTGTCTTTGTGATCTTTCTCCCTTGGCAGCAATCCCCACAGAGGACCATTTGGAGAATTTTCCTGGGCCTGGCCAGTTTGATTGAAAATTGAGGTACCACCAGGGCAGAAAAATCACCTGGGGGGTAAAGCTGGCTGAAAGATTGACCCTGTGAAAAAAAGGCAGTAACATTTAATCATATCAGCAAGGCTGTCAGCCTGGACATGCAGCCAGCCCACTGCCAGTGCTGACATAAGGGAAGGGTTTCACCCCCCCTGCAGATCCCAGGATTTGACTTCTCCTAATGGGGACACATAGGAAAGTTCACCCTACATTAACTAAACTTAAATAAACCAAATTACTAATCATCATCCCAAATGCCTTTAATTGGGGCATTAAGTATTAGTATTTAAAGATTAATTAATTACCCCAGATTAAAGATTAGCTCACTGTGGAATGGAGTAAAACAAAACAAACTTGTAGTCTTGGTTTGGTAGGATGTTCTGCAGGACTCTTGTGAACTAAAGCTGCTGTGGCTCTCCAGTACATCGCCTCTCCTCTGCTGTGTCACCTACAGCTGCAGCACTGATGCCTCTGCAGATGTGAACACTGTGTGCCAACACTTGCAAGTTACTTCAGGAACGTTCCTTGCTGGTGCTGGGGCTTTGTGCTGAAAACCAAGGGCCACAACAACAGCATTTGGTGGGTGGCCAGTGAGAAGCAAGTAGGGGCCAGAACAGGCAAGGTCTTTTGAAACAGCTT